GGGGGTTTCCCCAAAGGGGGGAGGAATTGGGTCTGGGGGTCTCTGAGCGTCCTGAATGAAGGGGTGGGTCTGAACATCCGGGGCGGGGCTTTAATCCATCAATAATGAACCGGTATTATTATGTATTGTGATTATTATTAGTTATTATTGTTTCTCTTGCTGCTCCCCGGAGAGGTTGATGGAGACCCCCCCCCCAAAAAAGACCCTTCAGGTCCCCCCTAAATCCCAGCAGGGCTTCAAAACAGACCTTCAAGCTGGACCACAAACTTCCATCCTGCTCCAGAAGGATCAAATTGCAGGGAATTATTGTTATTATCATTATTGTGAAATGTTTATGATAATTTCTGGACCTGGAGCTGCCCCCCCCAAACCATCCCTGGCTCAGCAGCAACAACCCTCCAGCCCTCATCTTGGGTTGGGGCACCGTCTGGAGGGACGTTTTTCTGAAGAACAGGAATTCAAAGAGCCATCGCTAGGGTTTATTTGCTGAATCGGTCTTGGGAAAGGAGTATGTGTTTGCCGTTGCATAGCAAACACACACAGTGCACAAGGACAGTTTGGCCTCAGTACCAGCCTCGGGGCATTCTGCAAGGAGCCGTACAAACACGCCGCGCATAAGAGAGGTTGGAAAAAGAGCTTCGATTTAAAACAAGGACGGAAGGAAAATAAAAGCCGTTGGAGAGAAGTGACAAGGGAGATCTCCAGGACTCTTAAAAGAGGCTGTAAAAGGCGCCATTCCAATGCCAGCAATGAGGGGGAGCATTCTCAAGTGCTGGGGCCACCTGCAAAAAGCCTGTTGAGTAACTTCAGAATGGGAATGTGCCTGAATTTGCACGTAGACACACAGCCTTGTGCAACACCGGTTGTTGGGATTGGACAGTGGGGGAAATGAAATGTAGGAAATAAAACAGGTATAATAACACCCTGTTGTCTACCACTGTTCACATGTTCACTAGGTGGGACACAAACAGTTTTGCCTAATGGCCCTCTTCTTCTCCCATCCTTAGCAGAAAAGCTAAAATGGACTCCAAAAATTGGGTGGAACTTTTTTTCTATGATCAATTATTCCAAGAATTCCTTCCAGAAGACAGCGTGCTTTACGAGACATGCTCAGTAACAACTGTGGTGTTATTTTCTCTCCTCGGGGACAAGGCTCCTGGGTTTCATGTAGACTTATTTGGAGGAATATGTGCAGGAATGCCATTTGTTTATTGGAAAGCAAGAGTGTCTAAGATGACGAAGCCCAGCCCTGGGGTGCAGTTTCTTGGAAGTAACAAGCGCTAGAAAATATCATGAACCAGCGCGATGTGTCCCATTACAATTTCTTCTTTCTTTATTGCCAGCTGTTTTATCAGTGATAAGTAACTAACCAGAATGTAGAATGGAGCTTTATAATATTCACTGTAGTGCAGATGATAACTCTACAGTCGTAACAATGAGAGAAAGGACATCAAATACTACTCCTTGCTTAGTCCAGGATTTTAAATTAAAGGTCCATGAAATTTGACTATCAAACCCATGCTTGGGTGGGCCAGTTCAAAGTCTATGACAAAAAAAAAATGCTTTGGGTAAATGTTAGTTTTGCATTTTTATGTGGGACATATATAAATTACACGTACAAAGACTCTTCATCTGATTAAATAGATCTTTAGCTGCAATCCTGCCATTTGCATAAGAATAAACCCTGCTGATGGGACTTCTGTAGCCACAAAAGGTTAAGTTTATTGAATATGACTAACAGTAACACAGGTATGATTCTGTAATGAGAAAAGATGTTTCTGGATGTGACCACCTCGCCATGGTCACTTCCTGCAAGGAAAAAGGAACAGCTATTCACAGATCTTGACCTGTCTTATTTACAAGAAGCAGGGTCTTCTCTGCAGTAGCCCCAGACCTAAAGAATCCTATTTGCATGGAATTCCACATGTATTTCTTCCTAGTGTCTCTTTATAAACAGATATATTTAGATATATATTTAAAAACAAATCTTCTGGGCGGTAGGAATTAGCTGGGGACTTTATGCTGTCTTTGTGTAGTTTTAGATTTTTAGAAAGTACATGGTTATGGATTGATTCTGGATTTGTATATGAAACCTTTTTGGATATGTCTTGCGGTCTTTGTCTGAAAGTATGGTTGTTAAGGGTTTTTGAAAGAAACAGAATCCTCTCAAGGAGAATGGAAGCAGCAGAGCTGAAACTGATAAAAGGAATTTGGCTCTTTGGTGGTGATCAGTGCGGTTCAGCAGTGGCCCTGAGAGAAATGTGAGCTTTAGGGAGAAAATGAAACTGGCTAAAGACAGGAAGGAGAGAAGGACTTTGGGGACTAAGTGATAAGGGCAGAGTTCTTAAATTCCCCCCAAATGCTTTCTTAGTCATCCTGACTTACCAGTTCAAATTGTTCACAATGCTCGAGTGAAGAATGCAACTAGAAACAGGCCGATTGAAACGAAAAATAAACTAGCTGGAAAAAACTATTCCACCAAAGTGCCTGCTTGATTCCAGATTTCCAGGGTGGGAAATGTTGGACCCCTTTTGGAGGAGGAGACCCAGGTTTTTTGGCACTTTGATAGCTGCTCCGGGCGTGAATGCTGTATCGAAACTGGCACAATTGCATTTTCTTGGTGTTTCTACACTTGTTTTATTGAGGCTTTGCTGTATACAAACAGCCTGTACGACAACAGCCACATCCCTAGATAGATGCTTTCAAAGAATTAGGGTTAATTTGGGGCATGAATTATGGATAGGATTGTCAGCACAACCCCGAGGCACGCAAAGAGATTCTAATCCTAGCTACCGGTAGTTTGTACTCTGTTGCAACCTTACAGGATGTGTTCAGGGTGTGAGGATTTTGGAGTAATACATTTAGAACATTCTTCAGAAGAATAGGGGAACCGTGTTTTTTTTCTCCGTTAAAATGCTCCTTGTTTTGGTTGCTGTGTTTCTTTCTCCAAAGAAACCGCATGATGATGTAAGTATTTGTGTACATTTTTGGTTAAACTCTCTGAAAGTCAACAACTCGAAGAATCCGAGGAAGGTGTGTTTCTTGGCAGACTATTCGGGTAACCTTATATTTTATTAATTTCTTTATTCCATTCAACTCCAGAAGAACTCTGGGTGGCTGACAATATAGCAAGCAGAATTAAAAATATGTAAGATAAACAGGAAGACAATAAGAAGGAGCAAAAATGAGCTTTGAAAACAAATAAGAAAACGAGGAGGCAAAGTCAAGGCATGTGAACTGCAATCCTGGTTGTGGGGATTTTAGCCTCTTTTGGCATCAACAATTATCTAAAGCTGGATTGATTATCAAACAGGCTGATCCCTGAAACAGATGGCACCTGCATCCTGGGACTGTTAAATCTGCAGTTCCTGTCCCGCTGACTCATTTTCTCTTTTTTCCTTCGGTGTAAATTCCAGGGCTTCTGTAGTTTTTCTAAGAGGCCGGTCCCTTTCTCAAAAGTCTTCAGAGGAAGCTCAGCCAGCCTGCTTGGATGGGGAATATTGCAACTATGGAGCTGGTCGCTTGCTCGGAATCTCCTGGGACTCTCTCCTTTATTTCCCTACTTTGGTTAAATGATTGGTGACAGATCAGAGAAGAAAATGACAGGTGTGGCAGAGGCCCTGGAGTCTGAGTGGATTGAGGTGGGAAAGGCAGAGCTCCCTTAATGAAAAGAGGTACGGACTCCTGAAACAGGAGAGCCGCATCTGTTGGAGATGCCCTTCTCCATCGTAGAAAAAGACTGGGTGTTTGTTGTCGTCATTCCTTAACCTAGACCTGAAAACTGCTTGCACGCCACCTGAGGCGACCGCCATAACTGGAGAACCGAGCTCCTCTTCCGAAAGGGGAGCATCCTGCAACTTCAGTTGTGGACAGACAAGGGGGAAGCAATCCAGATCTCTTTGTCGGGTGGTGTTGTGGGTCTTCCTTCTCCATCGCTTTGGGCATTAAAGAGAATTGACTGGTTACCAGCAGGATGTCCTGAAGACAGACGGGGGGGGGGGGGGCGTGTGTGTGTGTGTGTCTTTGCGTGGTCTTTCAGCCTGGGAAAACTCAGCCTCCAGAGGCTGAATGTGCTTCTGCTGCTTTCTCCCAGGCAGGGGCGACCTCCATGTGGGCTTCCTGCTGCGGGTTGCTGAATGAGGTCATGGGGACAGGAGCGGTTCGTGGCCAGCAGCCCGGATTTGGAAGCGGAGCGAACCCCTTTCGGTTTGCGCCAAGCACGGACTTCACCGTCTACTCCTCGGCGGCAGCCACGGGAGCAAACCCCGCGGTCTGCAAGTCTTGTGGCCTTTCCTTCTCCGTATTCAGGAAAAAGGTGAGCGTCTCAGGCTTGGAGGGCAGGAGGCTTCCGATAAATCTCCAGGGTTAAACACTGCTCTGCTTGCGGGCTCTTGTTTGTCACATAGGAAGACAACAAAATGGAGATTGGGACATTCGGAAGCCCACGTAGCTGGGAGGTGAGAAACGCCAAGCCGGAGGTCCTCCTTTAGAGTCAAAACCTGAGGCCCAAACCTCTTGGCTCAATTGTGGTCCTAACTCAAGGACGGCCTCTATCAAATAGGATATTCCTTATTTCCTTTTCCTTGTGCACGGCAAGGTGTGTGTGACTCCTTCCCCTCCCCGTTTCCTCTCCTCCTCCTCCTCCAGCACGTGTGCTGTGAGTGCAAGAAGGACTTCTGCTCCGTCTGCTCCGTCTTGCAAGACAGCCTCCGCCGGTGCTGCACCTGCCAGTTGCTGCAGGAGACGGCCTTCCAGCGGCCGCAGCTGATCCGCTTGAAAGTCAAGGATCTGCGCCAGTACCTGCTCCTTAGGAACATCCCCACGGACACCTGCCGCGAAAAGGAAGACTTGGTCGACCTCATCCTGTGCCATCACGGATTGGCCTCCGAGGAGGAGACGGACACTAGCAGCTTGTACTCGACGCAGTCGCAGGCTTCCAGTTTTTCCACCCAGCGCATTTCTCTGTCTGGATTGGTGTCCACCTCTCAGGGAGACCTCGCCAGCCGGCAGGAGAATATGGGCAGTGAAATACAGTTACTGGTAGGTTTGTGAAGAAAGGGGGGGGGGGCAGAGAGAAAGATCTTTCGTGATTCTGCCTCCCCAGCTGGGCCAACGGGGAGCAGAAGCTGCCATTTCTAGATGACCAGAATGGAAGGGATGAGCATGCAGTAACCCTTCTTGTGCATTTAGGGGCCCAGCGAGAGACTCTCGGCAGATCTGGGGGCAGAGGAAGACCAGGCAGCACAAGAAGTAAGGAACGAAGCACCTCAGGACATTGACCAAAGCGTTTACTCCCTTCTCAGTTTTCTGATACAGTTTAAGGCAGAGATGTGCAACCTCAGGAACTTTTGAGACCCGTGGACTTCAATGCCCAGAATTCCCCAGCCAGCATGGAATCCTCCCCAGCCTGGAATTCTGGGAGTTGAAGTCCACCGGTCTCAAAAGTTCTGAGGTTGGACACCCCTGGTCTAAGGCAAACCAAACAATATTTCAAAATATAATCGGGTGCCTGCTTGGGTATCCTGTCCCTAAAGACAGCAATGGATCTTTTATCAATTGTGTTGGATCCCCACCGGCCAGGAAGTGCCAGCGTCATAATTGTGGCCGGCCTGTGGCCCTTGCTGGGCGGTGTCTCCTACACAAGGTAGATGCCCTTTTGGGGGTGGGAGGGAAAGGGATCCCATGGGGGGGTTGGCCCGGTTCACAGGATCTGTGGGCTCGTTGCACACACGGAGGAGCGTTCTCTCCCTGTCTTTTCAGACTCCGGGCCAGTCCAGGAAGCGTGCCAGGGCCTCGCTGTCAGATATTTCCAGCCTGGATGACGTGGAAGGGCTGACCGTCCGGCAGCTGAAAGAAATCCTGGCTTGTAACTTTGTCAATTATTCGGGATGTTGTGAAAAATGGGAACTGGTAGAAAAAGTCAGCCGGCTCTACAGGGAGAACCAAACGAATCACCGGCTGCGTGAGTCTTCCGGTTTCCTCATTTCCTTCCCTTGTGGGCTTGCTCGGGGGAGGGAAGGTGCTCTCTCTCTTTCTGCTTCTCTTCCGAGGCGTTTGAATGCCGAATGTCCCGCTTAGTGACAGAGGTTGAGGACCACTGTTTTAAATCATACAATCCTGACGTGTCCCGTGGCGGCTTCTCTAACTGTGCCCGTTTGCTCCTTGGCAGAAGGGGAGAAACCTCCGCTGGCCGACGAGGACGACAACCTTTGCCGGATCTGCATGGACGCGGTGATTGATTGCGTGCTGCTCGAATGCGGCCACATGGTCGCCTGCACCAAATGCGGGAAGCGCATGAGCGAGTGTCCGATCTGCCGCCAGTTCGTCGTCCGGGCCGTGCACGTGTTCAAGTCCTGAGTGCCTGGGCCCAGCACCGGAAGCTTCCCGCTGCACACATTTCCTCCCGAGACGGTCACGTGCGGAGGCTCTGGAAAGCCTCGGTTCCAGTTAATTCATAGCATCCTGACCAGGAGCTTAGGAGCTTTGACCGATTGTATTTCTGCTTTGCAAGTCAGATGCCTCTTAAAGATAGAGCTGTGTGAACTGGATTTCTTTTCCTTTTCGTTTTTTTTTTTAAAGAAAAAAAAAAAAGGCAGACTGGAGTAGAGTCAAACTCGAAGCCAGAGATTGAACGCTTCAGATTGCTCTCTTCTGAAAATCAGCCCGAAAGCCGAGAAAAGGCGAAGGAGAGCACGCTTAACTTCCTCAGAGAGCAACGGGATGAAGCAGAGTCTTCTCCGGGGCGTTTCTTGCCCCCGGGGGGGGGGATTTTGTGGGTGGGCTGGCAGACCGGTTCTTGTGCCAATCCTCCAGAGTGTCAGCCCACACATATCTGGTGATCTACAGTAGCCTTAATGGAAAAAGTTAAAAGCTGCCTTTTCGAGTCTGCGTCAGAGAGAGCGCCAGTCAGCCAGTTTATATTTCCGTTCCGAGATCCTAGAAATGTCCTCGGATTCAGAACAGGCAAATCAAGGTAGTTCTGTTTACATTCTCATTTGAGAAGGTTTACCAGGAATTATCACATTTATACGGCTTCCCGTCACCAAAAGCAATGCTGGGTGGCACGCAACAATCAGTAAAACAACATACGTATTAAAGAATATTTAAAAAGCACAGTAAAAATTTAAAATATGCAAATCACATGGAGACAGTAAAAGAACCAACTGCAACGGAGCCATCTAAGAATGTCTAGTTCCCTGGGACCCCCAGAGTTGGTGACACAGCCAAGTGTTTGGGGGGGGGGGAGGTTTCTGGAATGGTAACAGTGATAGAGTTAACTTTATTGGGGAGGGGGGAATGCTCCTTAGGACAGGTGTTATGATAGAGAAGGATTTGGATGGACAGCGCACCTATAGGAATAATCCCAACTTCTCCTGAAACTGGGTCTATCAGGCACTGGGGATGGACCAGTCTAGTGGGTCCAGCCTCCCTGCAGTGGATGGAGGCACCAGAATGTCTCCTGGTCATCACGGCAGGATCTGACTCTGCTGTAGCCCCCTGCACCCAGCCAGACCCCTAACTCCCAAACCCCAATGTCCACAGAGGTATAAACGTTCAGGAAGGAACCAGGTAATGAAGGAGTCCAGCAGCAGGGGGAGGGGAGGGAAGGGAGCCAGGTCCCAGAGCAAACAATTGCAATCTTGCTTATTTAGCCCTGCTGCTTTGGGGGCCCTGAAAGATCATCAGTTCTGCCACCATCTTTCCTCTTCAGCAACACTTATTGCAGTACCTCCCCAACGGTTTCTAAGAGATTTGCAGTCCCAGAATAGCTGGGGCAAGTGAAAGGTCACCAAAGCTTGCACTGGGGTCACACAAAATCCTCAAATGCGCAGTGTGTGTGTGGGAAACAGAGGCATTTCGGAGCTCAGGCCCCCCCGGTATGAATTTCAGGACTTGTAGAAAGGCTGTGAAATTTGGGAGAGGTCCTAACTTTGCAGCCTGGTATCTATTCGGCGTCCGGCTCAAGTAACTTTTCGAATCTTGAAGTTGACATTTTTTTTCAGAAGGGAGCAAGACATGATGGGCTTTGTTTTTTGAAAATGTCTCTTAACGAGGACACAAGTGTAGAAAAGCGAGTTTTTTGGGGTACGTGCATAATCGAGAATGTAGCATATCCATAACATTCTGAGTAACGGCTGGCTTAATAAACGTTTCATTAACTGGCTTTTGGTCTGCTTTCCTCTGCCTCCTCGCTGCGAAAAAGCCCAGACGAGCAGAGACACTTGTTTTTCCCTCTGGCAGTATTAAACCTATAGGCTTGATAGCATCACCTGAAGGGTTTGAGACTTGGAGATGCTGGTGAAAAGGGGAAAACACACCACCAGGTAAGCAAAGGATGATCTTCTATGAAAAGTTTTTACTTTCCCCAAGGGACGAAGCAACTGGATTCCTCTGGATCACAAATGCCATTAATGAAGAACAACTGAACACGGAATCTCTTTACTGTCCGAGTTTGCTCTTGGAAAACAACTTGGGGGGGGGGGTTTGAAGCCAGGGGGGGCTTTTCCAGGAAATCTTACAAAGGTTCAACATGTATAATACAAACATGAGCAGTTTGCCCACCTAGCCTCTTATTTTTGTACAATCATTTATACAAATTTCAACAGAGGTAAAAATGCATGAGGAAGGAAATCAATCGGAGAGAGACCACTTTACAACAATGGCACTTAAATGTACTGTATATTGAATTCCCACCCACCCACTCTTTTTTTTAAAAAAAAAAATAGTTAACCAAGTTAAATTATAACAATTCATTTTTTTTAAAAAAAAACCAGAACTACTTAATTTGCAGATGGGTTTGAAAGTCCCAATATCTTAATGCTTTTCCAGGAGACTAGCCGTCACTGAAAAGCTTTCAAAATTAAGGGGAAAACGGACTTTATACAGGGAGAATTTAATAACACTTTCATCCTTCATCTGTACAACTCTTTTCCACAACATGCCTTACTGTGTTGCTAGAGTATACAAAACATGCTATTTCCCCCTGCCCCATCATAAAGTATGCCCCTATTTTTCCCCTCCACCCCTTCAAAAGTGGGGAATATCCGTCCGATCGGTCGTGTCTCTTTTCCGAAGTCTGCTCCCCCCACTCCAGAAACATTTGGCAACGCGAAACCCAAGTCAAAACGCCGGAAAAGCATCCAAGAACTTTGCATAAATAACTTTTTAAAGGGATTTGTACAAAAATAGTTTTGCATAAGGTCAACATATAACGGGGGGAGGAAAAAAACAAACCAACCAGTCCCGAAGGCAAGAAGAGGCAGGGGGACGGCCCACCTTCGCCAGGGCAGAACGAGCGTTTCACTTCGGAGGCCTGCAGAAAGTCTTAAACCAAATGTACAGGCGCTCCGGCCACAGTTCTGAGTCGGCACGTCCGTATCTTTCTCGGCACGTGAAAATCCCAGGAAGGAACATCGACGGCCCCCCAGAGCGCCAGATTGCTAACCTGGCTACCTGCCGTACATTCCCACGCAGTCGGGTCTGTTCGCACGACATCCACGCCGCGTGTCGGGTGGGTGAGTGGGGGAAACACCCCTCCGACTTCCTTCGGTCCTTTTTTTCGCCCTGCTTCTTCACCTCCCTTGAAAACCGTGTCCTTGTCAATACTAGCTCAGCTTCTTCAGCAGCTTCTCCTCCGCCTGGCTGAACTGGACGCTGACCGACATCTCGGCGATGAAGCGCTCGCAGCCTTCCCGGCTGACCTGCTTGCAGTAACGGAGGTCGATGTGGCAGATGCTTCCGCAGCGCTTGAAGTACGACAGGCACTGATCCGTCACCCTGTTGCAGTCTGGAAGCACAAAGAGAGGAGGGACGTCAAGGAACCACGACTGTTGCTCCTCGAAGATACAACGGCACACAAAAAAAGGGACTTACGACCGTTTCCCACACTTACGGCCACTGTACCATCCCCGCAGCCATGTGATCAAAATTCAGTTACTCTTGGCAACTGACTCACATTTATGACGGTCGCAGTGTCCCGGCATCATGTGATCCCCGTTTGCGACCTTCTGACAAACAAAGCCAGATTAACAGCTGCGTTGCCAACTTCACAACTGCAGCGATTAGCTTAACAACGGTGGCAAGAAAAGCCGTAAAATGGGGGCAAAGCTCACTTAGAAAATGTCTCATTTAGCAACAAAAATTTGGGGCTCCATTGTAAGGTGTAAGGAACACCTGCGGTCCGAGTTTGACCACAGGTCAATGCAATCGATCAGTCCATCTCCAAACATTTCAAGGAGTCCTTGACTCACGGCCCTCGTTTGGACCAGATTTTTTGTGGCTAAGCAGGCAATTTCACCATCTTTTTTGCCGTGGTTGTTAAGCAAATCATTGCAGCTTTTAAGTGAATCGCACCGTTGTTAAGCGAATCGGCTTCCCCCCCTGTTGAAATCTGGCTGGGAAGGTTGCGAAGAGCAATCTGGGGATGCTGCAGCCATGGTAAACACAGGCCGGCTTCCACACACCCAAATTTTGATCACTTGATTGAGGGGCTGCTGCGATGGTTGCCTGTACGAGGACCAGGTTGTAAGTCCCTTCTTTCCACTGTTGTTCATTGTCTAGTGAATGTCACTAAACGAATGGTTATAAGTCGAGGGCTTCCTGTATTAAAAGAATTGTGCGAGGTTCATGGCAGCATTAATCAGAAGGTGGCTGCTTCTACAGCTCTTTCCATCCCCACCTTCGCCGCTCCATCAGGATTCTCTTCTGGGACTGTTTAAGATTGGAGGTGGACCACTAAATCAAGGCGCGCAAAGATCTTTCCCAGAACTCTACCTGTTGAATCTCTCCCAGCCTACCTTTCAAAATAACCTCGGTTAGGGAGTCCCGCGTGGTGGTCCCCACCGCCGTTAGCAAGTTGATGGACTGGTCCGTCACGTGATTGCAGTAGCTGAGGTTGAGTCTGGACAGGAGAGGCATGTGCCGGATAATCAGACGCAGAGAAGTGTCCGTGATGTCCAAGCCGGACAGGCGGAGATCTGTGATGTTGCGCAGTTTGCTTCGGTTGTCAATCTGGCCTGCGCAAGCAACAAAAAGGCAGCAAAGTCTGTCGTTATTTCATCTGCAGAGGCTGTGATTCAACAGGCTCGGCCACGCCTGGAGGGACCACCACCACCACCACCACCACCACCAAAATGCAAGACTTTTCAAGCTTCTAGGCTTACGCTCGTGAGGCCATCACGAGACCCCAAATATGGGAAAACTGGTTGTTATACTCCGGTTTCTCTCCCAGTCTTGCTGCAGGAGTCAAAAAATGGGAATAGGCACCTGGCCGGTTGTCAGTTGGCGGTGACAAAAGGTCTCGCATCTGAGCATCCTTCAGGCCTTCCACCCACTGGCTGTCCAGAGTTCGAAGAAGGGGACAACTGGAGCTGCAGAGAGCGGACACGGCAATCCACGAGCACCCAGCCAAAAGCAGATCCCGGAGACCTACGGAGAGGGAAGAATGTCACCCTCCACAGAGTGGCCCTAACTGCACAACAGTCCTGCTCCCTCCCTCATCTGCTAAGGCAGGAATCGCCAAGGTGGAGCCTACCTGGAAGGCGGGTGATAAGCCAGCTCAGCTGCTTTTTCGATATATTTGTCCAGCTCAGGTCTAGCGTGGCCGGCTGTCTTCTGATGATGCCGCTCAGCATCAGGGGAGTGATGGATTTACAATGGTTGAGGTCTATTTTGGTCCACAGTCTTTTGTCACAGCACCTGGAGCAGGGAGGACAGACACATCTTGGGGAAAAATACAAGGCTTGAAATACAGGTAGTCCTCGACTTATGAAACCCTGACACCCCAGTTCAAACCTGCCCTCCCGTTCCTCATAGGGCCCCCCATCCCCCCCAATCCTTACCACCGATTCCAGGTCCGGCACACCCTCATGCAGATGCAGAGCTCCCCGGGGCTGAGGCAGCCAAAGACGGCCATCCACACCTCCCTCTGCATCACGTGGGCTGCTCCGTCGTCCAGCAGGAGCGAGTCCGGCGGGGGGCTGATGGGGGGCGGCCGGACCACGTGCCGCTCCATCTGCATGCACTTGGGAGGCGAGAGGGAAGGCGGGGGACGGGCGACGGCCCTGGGGGTGGTGCTGCTGCTGCGGAGGCTGGAGAGGAGCTGGTGGCGGAGTTCCCGCGGCGTCCCGTTGAAGCCCTTGCTGAGCGGATGCGGCCGCTCCAGGCCGAGGCCGTGCTTGGGCTCCTCGTTCTCACTCTCCGGCTCCGACTTGATGGGCGGCTGGTGGTTCTCGTTGGCCAGGCTGTTCTCCGTCTTCTGGATCTCCTGGTTCAGCTCCTTGCTCAGCTCCTTGCTCAGCTCCTTGTTGGGCAGGCGCGCTTTCCGGCGGATCTTGAATTTTTTCTTCTCCCGGGATTCGGCGCCTTCCGAGCTGGGCCCCGCTGTGGGCGAGCTGGAACGCGACTGGTCGCTCTCCTTGGTTTTCGGAGGCTCCTCCGGGAAGGCCTCGCCCGGCTCTTGCTTGAAGCGCCGCAGGGGCTTGAGGGCGGCTGCCCGGTCGTCGGGGGTCTTCCAGGAGCGCCTCTAGAAAGGGGGAGGATACCAATAGCAATGGTACCAATGGCTTCCCCCATTGACTCTGCTTGTCAGAGTTCGCAAAAGGGGATCACGTGACCCCGGGACACGGCAACTGTCAGAATTATGAGTCAGTTGCCAATTTTGAATTTGGATCACGTGACCCTAGGGATGCCGCAACGGTCATCAGTGTGAAAAACATTCAGAAGTCCTATTTTTCAGTGCCCTCGTACCTTTGAACGGTCACTAAATGAACGGTTGTAAGTCGAGGACAACCCTGTTTAATCCCTGGGGGTGGGAGAAATCCATACAAATGAAGAAATTACCTTTTTCCTGAACAGCTTCTCTTCTTTGCCCAGTTTTAGCTATGGTCAGAGAGGGAAGGAAGGAAGGAGGGAAAAGATGGATTTTATTGATTGGAAGTCATTCCTCCCATGCTGGCTGGGGGAATTCTGGGGAATAAAGTTTGCAAGGCTTAAAGCTAGAGAGGTTGTGGATACACCAGGGCGGTGGCCATTTTTACTGGGAGGGGGGTGTCCCAGCTCCTGCTCCCCCTCCACTACGCCTCTCCTACAGAGGCACCTTCTCCTGCCTTTTGGCTGAAAGCATCCAAGGGAGGCGATTTCCCCGTCTTACCCGCTTCCTCATCGCCGGCTCTTGGGGCTTCTCGAATTTCCGTTTGCGGCGCAGGTGGGCTTCCTCCGACTTCCTCCTCAAGAGAGGGTCCAGCGGGGGCTTCGGAGGGCGCTCGTCGGATTTCTTGCGGGGCGATTCCTCGCACTCGACTTTCCGCTTGGGGACCTCGGGGACGGCTTCCTTGTTCTCCCGGTTCATCTTCTGCTCCTTGAGCAAAGAGCCCGGCAGGTTGGAGGCGTACTTGAACCCAGGACCCCGCTTTTGCTTGTACGCCAGAAAGAGACAAAACACACAAGCAAACTTTATATCTTATGCCTTTTTTCCCCCCTCCCCTAATTCTCTCACTAAACTGGGGAGCAACGTGTTGCTCTTACATTGCAGGAGGAAACCCTGAAGATCTACTGGCAAAGAAGGGATCCACAAATTAGATCAGCTGAGCTTTGTTGCAAACAAAGCAGAATAGAAATAGGGTTGGGATCTCAAAAGCAAAGATGTGTGTGTGTGAGGGGATTATTGTTTTTACTCTCTTTATATACAGGAAGCCCTTGACTTCCCACCAACAACTGAGTCCCAAATTTCTGCTGCTATGCGAGACATTTGTTAAGTGAGTTTTGCCCCATTTTACGACCTTGTTAAAAGATCTGCGCGGGGGGAGGAAGGGGCTCTCCTCCTCCCCCGTCCAATCGGTAAAAAGTCACAATTGGGAGGCTGACAAAGACTCAGCAGGCAAAACGCACAAAAAATACTTTTTGTTTCCTTTTCCAGGCAACCAAGTCATTGCTATAAAACTCACTTTCCCAGTTTTTCCAGCATGGTTGCACTTTGGACATTCCCAGCAATTCGGAAGCTCCTCGTTCACCACGCCATCCGATTCCCGGACCTGGGAGAGAGAGAGAGAGAGAGAGAGAGAGAGAGAGAGAGAGAGAGAGAGAGAGAGAGAGAGAGAGAGAGAGAGAGAGAAAGACAGGAAAAGAGAAGGAGAAAAAGAGGGAGGGGAGAGAGAGATGGGTAGAAAGAGAAATTGTTTTGCTTAGCAACGGATATCTCGGGCTCAGCTGTGTCGTAAGTTGAGGACAACCTGTAGTCCCAAGTCCCCAAAGCCCCGTCCTTACCTTGAGGCACCCCGGGTGGATGATTTCGTTGCAGATTGAGCACTCCATAAGCATCAGATTAAATTTGCTCTCTTCTTCCTCCACCGTGTCTTCCTTGCCAGCTTCTCCACACACCAAGCACACCGCAGTGTGAGGCAGCACCGGCTACGGAGGCAGGAATAAAGGACAGGTCAGGGGATCCGAAACGGCCGGAAAAGCTATTGGAGCAGACAATGCCTCTGCCTGATCACCTGGAGCAGGAGTCTCCAAGTTTGGCAGCTTTAGAGCTGTGGACTTCAACCCCCAGAATTCCTTAGCCAGCCCACAAACCAGCATGGCTGGCCAAGGAATTCTGGGAGTTGAAGTGGACCCCGATTTCCCGCCCCGGTGAACGACGACGGTGCTTACCGCGATGCACTGCCTCATAATGCAGGACTGCTTCATCCGGCCAGGCCCCCCAAACTTCTTCATGTCCTTGCAGAAGTGACATTCGCCACACTCTGTCCTCAAGCAGGCCTCGCACTTGCGACATCGCGTCCTTCTCCGGCGCGCGCCTGCAGTCGTCCGATTCGCTGCAAGCTTCACGGCCGAGGAAGGACCCAACTTCCCCTTTGGACGTCCAACGGTCCGGTTCTGGGAAAGAAAGAGAGGCGGTGGGATTTTTACAGGGTGACCCCCTACCATCCTGGTGGCTGTTGTGAAGCTGGTCCCAAGGACTAACAGGTTGATACCCTTGTAGGGGCAAAGACGTTACGGCTTACGATAAACTTGGGTTACAAGTTCCTCTTTCTGCAAACCCAAGTAGCAGCTTTTCTGAGTGGGGATGGTCCGGTAAACCACAAAATGCGATTAAAGAGACACAGGCAACGTAGGCTGGGAAGCAACAGAGCTTTTCGGCCTGGCCGTTGTACAAACCTAGACCCGGGTCTAACACCACGGAAGATGCAGGCCAAGTAGCCCTAAAGAATTCGTAGAGAGTCAGCTTGGAAAGTATCCACACGAAAGGAAAGGTTAAAAAGACCTCGCCAATTGACTGTAATAGAGGAGGAGGAAGCCTGTCAGTCAGGACTGTGAGTTCTAATTCCGCCCTGGCCGTGAAAACAGGCTGGCTGACTTTGGGCCAAGAAACACGAGGGGAAAAAAATGCAGTTTGTATATTTGATTTCTTATGTTCCTTTTGGAGAAAGTGCCAAATCATGGTGATGGACCTCTGTGAGAGTTAACACACATCAGCAAACTTCCATTCCTGTAAAATCTTTGTGAGTTTTAGCAGATTGAGCATTTTTATAATCCTTTCTAAAAACTAACGTTTGGTTTTGCTTTCTCTGTTGTTTCCATTTTTCTATGCTTTTCGGTATGTTGTGAATCACCCAGAATTGTCTGGAGTTGGGTGTCATCAAATTGAACCAATAAATAAAATAAGTATAACTGGAAGATTAGCCTGGAAATTTCATGTATGGATCAGCTGCAGAAAACTGACAGTAAGAAATTATTGAGGGCCACTTAGAGGTTTTTAGCAGCCATTTTTACTGACTTCTAAGATTCTTTTATTGGATCCTTTGATGGATTCCCAGTTCTAAGCCAAGACACCAAAGGGATCAATTAAAAATAATTAAAAACCTTTGAGAGGGCCCAATATTAACTACAGAACTGAGATTGGCCTCATGTGCAGCTTTTAATTTAAAACAATGACCAAAACAAATAATTCTTTTTTTAAACAAATACATTTTAGTAGCTACAGAACCCTAAATTAGATCCACTTTATTTATTTTTTAAAAATTAATTTCTACAGCTACCCATCTCAACCCACTGATCCCAGGTGGCAAACAATTAAAACATTTTTTTTAAACAATGTTCATTTTTTAAAAAAAATAATACTGTTTGGTATTTTTAACCCAACCACAAACGTAATAAACTTACAAGACTAAGTATAAACAACCCAGTTCATTGCCCTGATAAATGTTAAAAGGCAGAATAAGGAAATATAGAGAAGGAATATTACAAAAGAGTCATCACAGAGGTCCGCCGGTAAATCAAGGAATTAAGAAATATATTTTCAGTTGGATACTGTAAACAAACTTGAGATAGATGAAGAGAGCCAGGTAAAAAATCACACCTTAGTTCTGAGGGTAAAGATATAAAAAAAGGTTGCTTTTTCACTTCTAAATACTAAACGATCCTTGCAAATTTAAATTTGTAAATCCTAATAGCTTCCCAAAATTGGCTCTGCTGTCAGTTGGGAGGTGGTCCTTTCTCCCCCTGCCCACATTATAGGACCCCTGTTAAGATGTCCCAGGCATCCATTCCCTATCTTGATAGGATTAAGTCTTCCATGGGGGGGGGGGGTGAAGGGAGACAATCCTAAGGAAACTGTCACACACACCACAAGCACAAGGCACACCTCCGTTCACTCCTAGCTGAAGATATTTCACAGATCTCCAAAGCAGATCCAAGGTCTAACTTCCTGCCCCCTCTGATTAATGAAAAAAACCAGATTGTTTCGGTTAAAAATCTCCTGCAAAGCAAAGTCAAAGCAGCAATTTTCTTTGAAAAGAATAAAACAAAAAAAAACTACAGTGGGAAGACCCCCTTTACCCTCTCCCCCTCCCTCGTTCCCTCTTTCTCTTTCTTTCTCCCCTTTCTTCCCTCCCTCCCTAATTTTTCCTTCCTTCCTTCCTTCCTTCCTTCCTTCCTTCCTTCCTTCCTTCCTTCCTTCCTTCCTTCCTTCCTTCCTTCCTTCCCCTTTCTCTCCTCCCTCCATTCCTCCCCCCTTTCCTTCCTTCTTTCCTTCCTCTCTTCTCTCCTTCCTTCCTTCCTTCCTTTATTCCAGCCCAAAGACCCTGCTTCCCACTGGGCCCAGCCGGATGCTGGCTTTGGAAGGTCTTCTCCCCCCAACCCCACTTCCTTGGCCTGCCCCCCCCCCCTTGGAGAGAGGACCCCCTCCTGCCTTCTTGCAACCCCTAGCAAAGCAGAAGAGGCGCCAGGTGCAAACTTTGCCTGCCAGAAGAAAAAAAAGCCAGGCAGACCCACCCACCGCCATGCATGCATGCAAGCAAGCCTGCACACCCACCCAGACATGCAGCCCGTGCATGCACAAACACACAAACACACACACACACACATGCACAAATCCAGGGGGACCCCACCTGGTCCTGCTCTGAGTCGTAGTCTTCCTCATCAGGGCTGGCGGACATGGCCATCTCTCACGGGGAGCCCAGCAGGGGCCGGGCTGGCATGGCTGGCAGTGGGGCTGTAACCCGGCTGTCCGGCCTCGGTGGTGTTCCTGGCCTCTCCTTATCCCCAGCGGGAGGAGGAGGAGGAGGAGGAGGAGGAAGAGCGGAGAAGGCCCTCATCCATATGCATGAGCCCCGAGGAGCCAGGAAGAGGCAGAGCTTCCTCGCCTGCCAATGGCAAGCTAAACCGGAGTGGAACAAAAGACGAGCTCTCCATTGGCTGCCTGGGCGGAGGAAGCCAGCCGAGGGGGGAGGGGGGAGGAGGCAGAGGGAGGGTCTTTGCTGGGGGAGGATGCCCCCGGGGGAGGGAGGCCTGCCAGACCCATTTTGGCGGAGGGGGCTCCTGCCTTGCAAAAAACCCCTTCCTGGTGGCAGCAGGGCCGTGAAGTCCTTGCACGGGGACTGGGAGGGGGAGTCCTTGCAAAGGGACCCCGTTTTGTGTCCACCCACAAAAGGGCAGCGGAAGCAGCCCTGAGACACCGGGGGGGGGGGGGCCTGCAGAAGCACCGGCCCTGCCAGGCCCCTGGGAGACAGGAAACATATTTTTACAGACTTAAAAATATTAAATATTTCTGCACACGTGCCAAAAGAATATACTCTGGTTCTCCAGCTTGGGAGACCGAAGGATGCCAGGGGCTATTTTTCCCCAGCCCCCAAATCAGTCGACACAACCCTGCAATAATTCACAATCAGCTGTCTGGACACGGCCCCTTTGCTAGACCTTGAACCGCCTTCGGTGGTGCCCCAACCAGGCGCCTGTCTGACCTTAAAGGCACAACATTTAAAGCAACAGTCACCCTTAAAGCAACCACCTTTCTCTACATGGAGCAGCAATAAAATAACGTTGGGTTCACCAGACACGCAAATGCACCAGGAAGCGCAAAGGGGGCTCAACAAAAGAGCTGAAATTATGCCAGAAATACACCTTGGAGGAAACTCCCTTTTTGGGGGGGGGAATCTCTTTTCAGGAAAAAAACCAACAGTGGTGACTTAAGGATTGAGGCCTGCGGCCGAAAGAAACCAGGATGGGCCCAAATCCTACCTTTGCGTTTTTCTTAGGCCAGGATACCACGGGGATCCCAGAAATGGCCAGATTCTGGTCATCCTCTGCATGTTCCTTCAGGATGTTCTGTTTCCAAAGGAAGGAAAATAAAATATCAGGGTTTTTGCTAGGACTGATTTCACACCATCATCGCCTGCATTTTAGGCTTCGTTTTAAAAAAATCATGGGGCTTCACAAGCCAGGGCTCGTAAGTTTGCACCTGAGTGGACCCAACCATGTTGACTTATTCAGTAAACCATAATAAAAGCCTATTTCGGCTGGTCGTCCCAGGCAAACCAAATCAAAGTGGTTTAATTGGATTTGGGCTCGGCGTATTGTGTGAATCCGAGTTACAAGGATGCCGGCAAAACTATAAATTCTGGCTTTGGGTAGAGGCTCCTGCGTGAAAAGATGCCCTTGAGGCTTTCCCCCATAAAACAAAGATAATCTTGGCTTGGCTCAGCAAACAAACCACTGTTAGATATAAGGCAAAGCACTGTGTTATTTTAATGGGTATTTTGTCAATTTCCTTCTTAGGTGGCAAAATCAGCAGAATATCCTCAGGGTAAAAATGGAAGGCCCAAACTGGACTACAGGTACTTCTCCACTTATAACCGTTTCGTTTAGTGGCTGTTTGAAGTTACAACAGCAATGGAAAAAGGGAGCCACAACCTGGTCCTCGCAATTATGACCGTCGCACCATCCCCACGGTCACGTGAACAAAATTCGGGACGCTTGGCAACTGCCCTGTCTTTACAGTGTCCCGAGGGGGTCCTCTGAGACCTTCCCAGCCGGCTTTTGCCAAGCAAAGTCAATGGGGGAAGCCGGGTTCGCTTAACGACCGCATGATTCACTTAACATCCGATTTGCCACCAGGGCAAAAAAAAGGTTATAAAATCAGGCTCATTTAGCAACCACCTTGCTTAGCAACAGAAGAACTTCTGCTCCCGGCTAAGGTCATAATTTGAGGAGAATCAGTAGGCAGCAAACTCAGCCAACTTCTCCCCATAGCAGGGGAGTCAGCAAGCAATTTCCAAGAGAAAATCGCTGCAATTGGGGCTCCTCTGAAATGTGGGGGCCCCTGCGTCAACAGCTTTGTAGGAGGGCACCCCACACCCTAAAAGTTAATTAAGGGATCATCTCTGCGTTTTCCAGAGATAAGAGAATGCAAAGCCCACCTTTGTTTCTGAAAGAAAAGTAAAAAAGGGCCTTACAGATTTCAATTTTCCAAAGACTAAATTTAAACTCTTGACTGGGTTATTGTACCATATAATCCTTTTTTTAAATTGAAATACAAAAGGTAAGAAAAGAAATGAAACAAAAAGGATGACCACATATAAGATTTTAAAAATGCATAATAAAAAAAGGATTAAAACCCTTGGGTGATAGAGCCTCTCCTCTCCTTTCTGTCTGCAACCCCTAGCCACAATTTTAAATATTTGTGTTGCGCATCAAGCATTAATGACGGTTGCTAATTCCTGCTTAAGTCCCAAACATCACAGTTAAAATGTAAATCTGTGAGAGGGCTGTACCACTTTCCCGAAAGAAATGGGAGCTTTATTCTCTCCTACCACCTCCGAAGACCACCCGTTGACACCAGCCATAGACTTTGTTCCCAAATCGCTCGACACAACACAACACAACCCTGAAACCGCATGAATGGGCATGGTTAAAGCTTACAACTGTCCTCACAGCACTAGCTAAGCCATGGTTTAGTGACTGTTTTTTTTAACCCATGACATGTGTGTCCCTGAACTTGGTACTTTCTACATGCCATGGGACCTCAACCCAACAGCACAAGAACATGTACTAAACCATAAGCCACGACTTGCAAATGACACCGATTGGGCTTAATCTACACGCTAAGCCACCAACCAACGAACCACGTCTCAGGTCTACGGAAGGAAACGTTTGTCCATTACTCACCTTCATATCTTCCAGGAGAGCTTGAGGGTCTTCAATGCCTTCGGGGACGCATTTCTTATTCTCCGGAAGAGATTCTAGTTTTTCCACCAGGGCCTTCAAGCCTTTCAGCTCAAATTCGGTCAAGTGAGTCCACTTGGCGGGGACCTCCGTGGCAGGAGACCCGGTGGGGGTTTTGGAATAGTCCACCGTGGCTGACTTTATACTTTCCTCCGACTCGTTGGACAGAGTCCTTTTGAAGAAGCGAGATTTTGCCTTCTTCCCCAACATCTCCTTCCCCTCCGAGTGTGTGCTGTTAGGAGAAGAGGGGACGTCGGATGAGATCTTGGGGACTTTTTCTGGGTGGTTGTCCTTGTCTTCCTGGGGACCAACATCGCACAAATCCTCATCCATGTCTCCCCAGGAATCGGATGAGAAGCTGTCCAAGCTATGTTTCCTCGTGGTATCTGGGAGCAGAGAAGAAGACAAATTAAAACCTTCCAGAAGATCAAGTGCTCCGAGACCTCCACAAGAACCACCAAAGTTTTAGTTCAATTTGAACCTCAATTATTTCTATCTTTCAGAAAGCTGCTTTATCCCCCAAATCTCCGCTCTTTTCAATATACAATCTGAAGCGGGGCACCAACCCTTATAAACAGAGAGAGAGAGAGAGAGAGAGAGAGTCTTCATGCATGTCTTTGAGTTACTGAATTATCCAGTCCAGTGTCTACTTGAAAAAGTTTCTGCAACCAAGGGCACCTTTCCATCTCTCCTCCCTGCTACTCCAAAAACACACTGAGGTTCAGGCAAATTACTTACCAATTAACATTGATTCTTGTAGATACTCCCTGCTGAAATGAGAGCGCTGGGTTAGACAGAACACGTATCTCTCCAAAACATACCAACACATCTCATAGTAAAATGGGTAGCGGAACTTGGCTTGTACCTGGGGGGAGAAAAAAACATAGGAACGTGTCTGAATGCAGGTCAATTAACCCACAATTTGCTCAGACCAAAGGATCAACAATTTGCACCTTCCTATGAGAGATAATTTATCAGACAGACCTTCAACTTAACATGGAACCTTATCTTGCATGAGTTGACTTCACAATCAATCACCATTAGTCATGCTTCTCTTGAAGAAATCACCACACCAGCTGGATCCATAGGCTGGCCAAGGCATTAACCATGATTTCCAAACCACAGTGACCGGCTCACACAACACAAGCCAACCAACCAACGACACGATTTGTTCTGCCTCATGTTTTCATTCCTCGGACATCTAAAAGAACTCCTGATCAGAACTGAGTGACCAAGAGGCCAGCTGAGGACTAACCCTTGCCCTCAGGAGCATCCATACTCAGGGTCTAAAAAGTCAAGATCTATATTTTGTTTGACACATACACAATCATGCACCTCAGCAGACACCTCTGCTTGCGCTTTTGATTATCTTAGAGGTTAGATCTTAGCTTTAGATCTGGGCAACCATGGAATAAATTCAATATCTGCTTCTTCGTGGCTAAAGGACAATCCCTTCTCGGTCCTGCCAAGTTTGCAAATTGGAAAAGAGGTCTGCTCAAAATCCTCTTGCAACCCTGATCTCCTAGAAACCTGAAAAAGTGCCCACATGTGCCAAGTCAAAATGACAGGACTGGTAGGACCTCAGCCCTCTGCAGAACTCGGGAGCCCTGGCAAATGTCTGTTTCTTCCCCATCTTTAGACCCACTCTTATTTCTGGGTTGGTATAATTTATTGTGTTGGTGATGGTTCAGATTCTGGAGCAGGAAGTCTATATCACCTGGTGGTCCATAATATGTTTCTCTGGAGATCCGAGAGACTCAGCCTTGGATGCTTTGCTGGGAAGACAGATGTTTGGTCCGTTTGCCATTCAAATTTGGGGTATCGGAGACCCCTCCCTAACCTGCAGCAAGAGTTGCAAGTCTCAGACTTCCCAGGAATTCTGTCATTCCTGCCTATTTAGGGGGGGACTTCCAAAATTTGGGAAGGACCTCACCAATGTCAAAAGAGCGACGTTCATATAAGGAACTCAAATCCTGCATTTTTCTCCCCCCATTTAATTTTACAACAAAGAGAGCACTGCGGGAAACAAAATTTGCAAAAGAATTTGACTTACAAATAGGAAGATGCCTCTTTCCACCCCTCGGCCTTCAAAAGGTTTTCAGCCACACACACGCCTGGGGAATATATTAAAGACATCATTTGCTCAATGCTTTCCTGACAGGTTCTTTTTTTTTTTTTTTTGCAATTCACCAAATTTAGTTCTGCCTCTTTTTTTGGGAGGGGGGGGCGAATGGGGGAAACCAATACTTTTTTAAAAGAAAAAAAAATTAAATACTGAAGACAGTGAAAAGCATGCAGTGCTCCCATGCTGGGGGTGTGTGTCAATCTCTAAGCATCAATTTGAGTTCCTAATAACTTCGCCTCTCTGGACTCCGTCCCATGGCTGTCTGTCTCTACATTTCCTTTTGCACATCTGCAAAGTCACAGATGTGAGACAGGCATTTGCAACCCCCCAAAAAAGAAGGACTTCTCCCTTGCAAGCCAAGATGTTGCAGGGAGCTAAACAGGTATAAATTCAATTAACACTTTCTCTTACCAGTTTTTGAATTATGATAGTTGGAAGCAACTTTCTGTTCAGAGTAGTCTTCTCCTCTGATCCAGGAAGGTGGCTGTTCTCATGAGAAGGTTAGAGATGTTTAAGACTATGTCCCTCAGCAATTAGCCACAACCTGCAACATGCCCAGGCAGTCTTGCGCCGAGTTATACATTTGTTGTGAGTCAAATCATGAGATATTTGGCCCTCACTCTACGCTGAAAGGAAGACAAAATCTGGGATTCTTGCAAGAATCCAACTTTGGCTTGGGGTTGGCATGCGTGTGTACATGTCCAGGTGGAGAAGACAGGTTCTTAGGAAAGGAATTTAGACAGGCACGGGATACAAGTAACAACTATTCACCTTGAAAGACAAGGAGAGCAGAAGTAGGCTACAAAGGATCTTAAGGTTGTCTCCCTTGTGTAGTCATCTGATAGGCCCTTTAGCAGACAATGTTTGAGAGGAAGAACCAGAAGAGAGAAATCACATCCAGGGTCATCGGCACACCCCGATCCATCTTGCATACATTTTCACACCTCTCTTTTGCTGTTGGTCTCTTCTGTTCTAAGTAAACCTGAGTACAATCATGATTGAAGGCTACCAATAAAGATGAGCCTTAGATATTGTTTTAGATAGGGACTCACTTTCTCACACACTTTGGAGAAGACTCCAGCCTCTCAATATCTCGAGATTTTTTCAGTGGTCCCCAGCTTGCCTTTTGAAAATCAACATGGGCTGTGGATATTCCAACTGTCCTAACTCATCTTCTTAACTGTCCTCTGCATTACAGCTGAAGCCTACACAATGTCGGGGTTGGCATGTGTGTACATGTCCAGGTGGAGAAGCCTGATCCTCTCAAGCTGGGATGGACCTATCAGAAAATCAAGGCATTTGTTCCAATCTTCTTCTAAAAGAGATTCGGTCCCAAAAGCGCCCTTTGAAGATAGGGGACAATGGCATGGGCATCAATCTTGACAATGGGTTGGAAAGGCCCAACACATCTGGAACAGCAAGATACAGATGTGCCCAACAGCAGCGATAGTGATGATGCATTGGGGGGGAAATCCCAGAATTCCCTAGAAATAGTTGATCAGAGTGGGATTTGGTGGTGATTTACCAGCTTTTAGAGAGCCAATCAGACACAGTTTCCATGACAAAACCCAACATTCTAAACCCTTTTCCACCACTGGGGAACCAATCAGAAAGAAGGGGGCGGAGCAATGTTTCCTCACTCTTAGCACCCAGCTGTTGTGACCACTCCCTTGACTTTTTTTGTCTCCTGTACTAAGGATGCTCCTGAATGGCAAATCCTCATGTCTAAATCACCCACAGGTTGAAATCCTTCTTTCTGTAATACAATGACTCGTAGTCTACTATAGCGAATGTCTGTTACGGAAACCCAGCTCAAACCATCACTGAAGAACTCAGCGTGCAGTGAGAATTCAAACACCTGACTTGACTTAACCTGGTTGACTTAACCATAGAAAGTTTGTCGTGGATATACAAGAAGAGGCTGAAAGCAAACAGACTCATAACTTTTATGACTGCGTTGGGAGAAACGAGCAACTGGTCTGTAACACTGGAAGTAGAGACCCTCCAGAATTCCAGATGAGGGAGACACATCCCCAAATCAAATCTCAATTCTACATCATCTCAAAGCAAACCACTAAAGCTTCTTCAAGAGCATTCTTTAGCTCTACGGAGTGATGCCCAAACTGGCCACTTTCCTGGGGAATGAGAAAAGTGTTTGTTAAGTTGTCAAGAGCCCACCCCCTACAAAGACCAGAATTTCCCTGGAAATCCGGGAACTTGTCAGAATTCCAATTTTTCCCCACAAGAGAAATCAGGTCTTGAAAGCTTGCACTTAAAAGATAATTAGATTCCCATGTGGTGATAAGCCATAATTGTGTTAAACCTAGTTGGCTAATAAGATGGAACAAACTGAGATTGCAGAAACCATTAAAGCAACAAACCTCTCCACCCTGACAATGTGGTGGAGAGTACGTTCTCGGCCATCGTGGTTTGTAAATCATAATTTATGGCTTAGCATGATGCATTAAGCCACTCATTCTGGTTGATTCTACTAGAATGCATGGCTCAGAATGAACGAGAATGTGGTCAGTTGTGATCACTCAACAAGCCATTGCTAAACTCCATGGGTGAACCCAACCATTAAGTTTATCCAAACTGGTGACCAGTTAGGCAGGGAAGACCAATTCTCCACCAGCTTGCTCTGCTTTGAACCTCACCCTTTGCTCTTCTTGGTTTTGAGATTTCAGCATAATGCTCCAAATATCTGAACCCCTGAACCGAAAAGTTCACAGACCAAGCAAAGTTTCCTTTGAGCCACCAAGGTGCCCCATTCCAGGTGCCCTGGTACCTTCTGCAGAACAAGGATTCAATGTCTCAAGTCAAAAATCTAAGGAGTCCTTACCCTTGTTCTGTCCTCAATTTCATGAATGCGAAGCTGCATGGGAACGTTAAAGCTATGCAAGATATTTCCACCAAACACCAAGGAATCAACTGGGGTGTAAACCGCATGTATCCACCCTAAAAAGATAGAGAAGAGAGGAAAGGACTCACATCACAAAAGTCAGTCACGTTGGGGATAAAGTCCTGCTCTCATCCGGCCTACAAAACTGTGTTTTTTTTCAGGATCTGCCTCAAAAGCCTTTCTATTCAGCGTCAGCCGCTGAGGCAGCACAAACCCTGGATCAGAGCATTGGGAATAGGCTATAAGACAAGAAACAAGCAAAAGAGCTAGAAAATGCTAGGATCAGGGATGTCCAACCTTGGCAACATTAAGACTTGAGCACTTCAACTCCCAGAATTCTCCAGCCAGCCATGCCAGGGAATTCTGGGAGTTGAAGTCCACAAGTCTTAAAGTTGCCAAGGTTGGACATCCTTGGGCTGGATCATCCCTATAGTTAGCAAAAAAAGGACATTGCAAGTCCAGAACCAACAGGGGGAGGCATAACTTTTATGCAATCCTTTTCTCCCAGTGAGTGTGTCAAGGTACATTATCCAGTCCATCTCTCTCCTTACTCTGGACCTAACGATGGCTGCCCACCAATGTGTCAACAGTAATGGTGGATCTTGAAAAACCAGATCCTCTTCCAAGAGGGAATTACCTGAAGGAATGAAGAAAGTGTAGCCTTGTTTCAGTTCGATTCTTTGGCACAGCTCCACACGGTCCCCCAGAAAAATATCACTTTGCTTCCCAGAGACAACCCATTCCTCGTAAAGTTCTAGGTTCTGCAATGTTGGAGGAATCAGCCAAAAGATCTAGAAACAGAGAGAAAACCCCGAAGGTGCATCTCATTTAAAAAGAAGCAAACGAGCATGTCCAATATTCTATCTTAAATTCACTGCACAGCAAGACTGCCTTTCTTTCCTAGCTGGGTGATTTCCCCTTTCCCCAAAGCCTATTTTGAAAAGAAAAAAAAAATTGAGCCTCCGCTCTTGACAAGGATTTTGTAAAGGATTGCCTTCCGCGGAGACATCGCTTACCTTTCCTCCTCGGAAAACGTGATACCACACCGAAGTGCCTCCGAAATCAATGTGGAAATCGGTGAAGCATCCTTTCACGCTCATCAAGCAGTACCTGCAAAAGAGAATCTCTCTTTAAACCCACCGAGAGGGATTCTAATGTGCAGATCATCGGCGAACAGGTCCAATTAAGGCTTCTCTGTTCGTCCTCTGGGTGGGATTTTAGAAGCAGCCGAGGGATTTCTGCTGCAGGGGAAGGAGAAAAAAAAACGCAAACCAGGCAACGCAACCTCCCCCTCCTCCTTGAAGGGAGCACACCACAGAGAGGCCGCCCCAATTAAATTGGCCATCTACGTGGGCTGTGCCTGCTTCTCTGTTCTCAGCGCTCACTTTGAACCCTGGACCTTGGAACCCCAAAACAAGACGCTTTTTATTCCCAATCCTCGCACGGGCAAAGTTTACAAACAGTTCTGCTTGAATCTCACACTGTTAATGGGTCGATGTTTTTCCAAACTCCTCGCTCGCAAGCTCCCAGCCAAACCGGAAGGCTAAAGTGCTCCATTCACTCCTTTTCCTACGAGAACTCTCAATGGGAAGACTTTAAAATCAGTTTTGCACCATCCCTTTTTGGCCTGGATGATCTCCTTTCCTACCCTGCGCTGCCGATCCATCCTCCTACCCACCACGGGCACCTTAAAGAGACGCAGGAAATGTGCACAGCTTAACACACTAACCTCTTTTCCTGGTTCCGGCTGCTGGTTACCTCAATCTGAGCGTGCGAGAGTGTGTGTGTGTGTGTGTGTCCCCCTGTGTGTCCTTTGCCTCCCCTACCAGACCGTGTGTGCCCTGATTGCACTCCCCAGGCGTTTCCCGCTGGCCCCGTTCCCTTCTCCCGCCAATCAGCCGCGGTTTTCCCTCCCCTCTGACACCATCCAGGTGGACGCCCGCATCCTCCCAGCGACAGGCTGGGGAAGAGAACAGTGCCCTTCGCGAGGCTTCCCTTGGCGATCCGAAAGTCTCGGGTTAGGGAAAAAGGCGAGCTGCCTAGCAACCTCTTCTGAGTTGACAGGGATACGCAATGCTGCTGTTTATGGGGAAAATGGCAAATGTGTGGGGAGGGAGGGAGGGAGTTGGGAATGGGAAAGGGGAAGGAGAATGGGAAGGAGAAAGGAAAGGAAAGGGACGCCAACTCAAACGTTTTGTTTTGCAACTCAAGCCCTGCCTTGCAAAAGAGCCTACCTTGTCTGGCTTTTGGGCACGGGATTTTCCTGGCCGCGCCATTAAACCTTCCCAGTTGGGGAAGCGGATTCCAAGCTGGCAAAATATCCAAGGAGCACATAAGAAAGCTTCGGCCTCCCCAACAGAGGAGCCTTTTCAAAATACGAGTCCTCCTTCCCTCCTCGGAGGCTCCTAAGCCCTCTCCCCTTTCCCCCCTTTCTCCCCCTTCCTCTAGGTCCAGCAGAAAGTGACACCCATTCAGGGGCTGGTTTGGGGAGATTCAGCCCCCCCCCCTTGCGAGAAACTTGGAAGCAGAAAGCAACTTTGAATGTGACCGGCCACTAGGTTGGCAGGCAGACAACTGAAAGATCCTCGGTGGTTTGGGATTATATGAAATATTTTTCTTTAAAATAAAATGCTAGTAGCACAACCCCTTTGATCGTGTGCAGACTTGGAAGGTGGCGGCAGGGGGGGGGGAAGTGAGAATACAGCTGAGCTTATTATCCTGAGGACAAGTCTGGAAACAAACAAACAATCTGCATATATTGTAGTCTTAAAACTGGAACTGGAGTTCTTAGCCTGAGCTGAATGTCGTTTCAACGGGATGAATTGATGCACAAAAAGGTTTGTCCACAAAGCAGACACCCACCCACCCCCATTCCCATCTCAAATAGGAAGCATTATTATTCAGATATGAAGCATTCTGCACACTGCAAAAATTAGGTTTCCGAATATTCGGTTTTCTGGTTCCTTTTTGCTCAAGACTTGGGTTCTCTAGCTAGGAAGTCAGCTCAGCCTTCCTACATTTCCATCATTACAGAATGGGTGGAATTATTTGTCCCTCTCCAAATCAATCTTCCTCCTGAAACAAGCCCTCTTCTCCCTCCCTCCCAGCAAGTTTCTTTAAGGGCTCCATTTCTTTCACACACATAAACCCCAAAACGCAGCCTCTGCTTCTAAGAAACCTCAGTCAGGATGAGTTCATATTTTTTAGAAAGAGTCTTTGGAGATCCTCTGTGTCTAAACGGTTCCATCCTGGGGTCTAACCGAGGATATTCTGTTCTCTCTTCCCAAAGCCCCAAGGGTTGGCAATGAGGCTTTGGAAATTGGGGAGGGGGCTAAGCTTTTCTCCGCAAAGCAGACTCTGGAGAGATGTCTTTGTGTTGACCTCTACGGCTTCCTCTCCTCTCCGTGTAAGGCTGGAGTCACGTGGGGCAGGAATTCAGCCCGGCTTCTCCTGCAGGGATAATCCCCGCTTCTTCAAAAGACAGCGAGTGGGTGGGCTGGTTTGTTCAGCACAGCCCAGAATGCCTAACTTTTCTAAGGGACTTGCTCCTGAAATGCACTCAAACCTCCATCTTGGAAGGAAGAGGCCCCCTTCCCCTTTCTTTCCCAGCCCCCACCCCACCCCCCTCTCCGACCCAGAGGCCCCTTCCTATGTGCCTTTGGTTAAAAACTGCCGGAAAAGGGGAGAAAAAGAGGACGGACAAAACTTAAAGAGATTTCAGCTCCAGCTTCCTGACCCTCCCCCCCCCCCCCCGCTTGTAGACACAATCCTTGGAATAAACAGAAATTTGGGGTTCGCTCAGGGGGGCTCTGAGCTTGCCAAGCGACCTCCATTTCATTCATTAAACAAGGGGGGGAATTATTTCAGCATCTCTCCAGTGTTTTGTTTTTGGGTTCCCCCCCCCAACGATGGTTAACAGAAATTTGAAAGATGCCGAAAATAATAGAGAGCTGGGAGGGTGGAAGAAACCATAAAGAAATGAATGAGGAGCCGAGAAGCAGGCGTGATGGTGGCATTTTCGAAGCTGCAGCCCGGCGGAGGCAGCACTGAACTCTTTGAAGGAACCTGGCATTTTCTGTTCTTTAATTGCTCCCAAATTAGAAGGCAACGAAAGGGGAGGACTTGTCACGTTTTTTTGGGGGGGGGAGGAATGTTCTTTCTCTGATGGGGGGAGAGGAAATTCCCAGCTGGAGCCTCTGCTAAAAACTGTCCTTTTCTTCTTCTATTTTTTAAATCCCCCAAAATGTTTTCATTCGGATGTTACTGTACAGCAAACATTTGCACAATGGTGTAAAAAAAGCAGCCGGTGGCAACAACGCAAAAGACAGACCTGCGTCTGGGTCAGATGGCAGAATGTTATGCCGAAACGAGGAGATAAAATAACAGAGAGGCAATGAAGAGGATAACAACAGGATTCCTTTCTCCTTTTTTCTCCATTCAAAACCGCAGAATTTTAGGTTTTCAGAATAGGAAAACTCCTTTCTATTTACAGCGGCTTATTCACAAATGGTGCAGGGCGGCATCCCAGATCTTAAGCTGTTTTTAGAAGAGAAACCCCCCCCCCATAGCCAGCGACAACCTCCATCTGTTGTATCCAATAGATTCAACTAGCACAAGTTGTCACCAACGCACGCACACCCTTGCAGAGACGTTGCTGTGCGAATGCAGACCAAATATGTCCGTTCTATTCTACCAGCTACAAAGTTAAATCACCAGGAGCCAAGAGACACACCTGTTCATTCCAAACTCCCCCTCATCCAAAAAAAGGCAATTGAGATTGCTTTGAGGGTCAAACATCTGATCTTTTGCAGATGTTTCCTTCAACTTTCACCCTCTTATCATTATTGTGAATCAAGGACTCAAAGGGTTCTTCATACAAAAGGACCCCCATTCTCCACGGAAGCATTCCAAGCAATTAAGGCCCCCAAACCACAAAAAGGTAGCATAGAAATTCTCCTCCATACCCCCTCCCACCTGCTACCCCCAGGGAAAAATAATCTCTTCCCAATCTTATCTCCTGGCTTTGTTTTTTGAAGTGCGGGAGACAGCAGGAGGGCCAAGATGAATAGAGAAATGCCAACAACCTTTCCTAGCCCGAAGCTTGGAAAGAACCCTACAGAATCCATAGCGTAAAATGGTGGGATAGAAAGATAGAAAGATGACCAGAGAAAACACAATGTGCACGAACACATGGATGAGGTGGATTGTAGAGAGTTTTCCGTGGAGGCAGTGAGCCCCTCTCTTTGCTCAAAAACCGCACAGAGGGAATTTGGTGGGAAATTTGTTTATTATCCAAGGAGGCAGGGAGAAAGAAATCACAGTGACGGCTGCTTCGCTCTACCGCCCATCTCTCTCCTTCTCTCGCTCCCACTCAATTTTGCTCTGAGCAGGAGATCCTCCTCCTCCTGCTTGGCTACGGCATCCATCGCACATTGAAAAAAACAGCCGAACCTCTTCCAGCCTTGAATGAAGGGCCAAACACTGAGCATATCCCCAGTTGGGTACCATCAAGGCCGCTTATGAACCAGGACATAGGCCTGGAGTTGGCCAAAACTTAAAAAACACGAAACTTTCCAGGGATCATTTTTCACTAAAAGCACCCATGCCCACAGGGATCTTTGTTAGCATAACAAAGTGCAGCTAAATATCTAAATCTTTCTCTCTCTCTCTCTCTCTCTGTGTCTCTGTGTGTGTGTGTTTCAAATTAAACCATCCTCTTTTCCCCCCCCCCATTTTTAATTTGTCTCCTCTCACCTGAGGTAGAAGCATATAAGAGACTTTGGTGCTCTCTGAAATTGGGTTGTTCTTATGCATTACCCAAACTAGGTAAGGTCACCTGTGCTAGCCAGCTTTTTTCATATGCACAGATAACAAACTCCCTCAGATATTGCAAACACAGAAGCTATTTTGGGGCTGGGGGAAACCATCAAAAACAACATTCACGGAAGGAGGTTGGTTACCCCTTGAGAAGTATTTGTTGGACACAAGAGTTGTTGAAATGAAAATTGCAAGCAAAAAAGAACACGGAAAAACCTTAAACACTGTACTGTAGCTTCTGTTTGGAAAGTTGCTTTGCTTGAGGGATATCTGAATATAGGTGGTCCTCCACTTACGACCACAACTGAACCCAAAGTTCCTGTTGCTAAGCGAGACAGTTGTTAAATGAGTTTGTCTTGTTTTACGACCTTCCTTGCCACAGTTGTTAAATGAATCACTGCAGCTGGTAAGTTGGTAAATACAGTTGTTAAGAAAATCTGGCTTCCCCATTGATTTTGCTTGTCAGAAAGTCACAAAAGGGGATCACAGGACCCTGGGACATTGCAACCGTCATAAGCACATGCCAGTTTCCAAGCATCCAAATTTTAATCACATGACCATAGGGATGCCGCAATGTTCGTAAGTGTGAAAAAAGCTCACAAATCACTTTTTTTTCAGTGTCACTGAAACTTTAAACAGTCACTAAACAAGTGGTTGTAAGTGAAGGACTACCTATAACTTCTCCCTATCCTTTTACTCATTTTACTCTTTCTATCCGAAAAACAGCGCCATGCATAAGCATCTACGTACAGCACGGTTCTTTGAACACTGTTATATACGAACCTCTAATTCACAGCTAATTCTGACACGCAAGCGTTTTTGTTGCAAGGTTTAAGAAAGGATCTGGGTGACCTACTTGGCAAAGCATAGGCAAGCAAGCAAAAAAAAAATATGTCTTTATCCCCACAGCCGTAGCAATTCAAAAAACCACAAAGCCAGAGGTAAAACAGTTTGTAAGAAGGAAAAAATGTCTTGTAAGAAGGAAATCCTAAATCCACCACAAAATAGGGGGACATCCTTTGCAGTTGCCATTGTGAATCCAGCCCAACCTCCTTATAACAACAAAAACACAAAACAAGCAAGGCTGAACCATAAACACGGGTCTTTGGCTTGCACTGCTGACATCACAGCAATTCAGCCCAATCACAGCCAAGATTCCTTCCTATTGGTCGGCGTCTTTCTGACATAGAAGCAGCCATGTCCTTCTCTATCACAGCACCTTCACTTGTCACCAAATCATAGTTCCCCCCAAAAAACCAGCCATTAATTGTCATGGCCACACAAATCTTTCAACGGAGACACACAAAGCTCCTCTGAATTTAGGCTCAACACTCTTAACACACCTAGCTTTAATCATAATTTAGCAAGGAAATTTGGAAGAAAAGTCCACTTACTTTTTCACTTTGGGATATTTCATCTCCAAAATGGCATTTGTGGACTCGGTCTGCCTTTCCTTTAAATGCCGCGGCCACATGTTGTCCACCCAGTCTACTAAATCCACCTGGAAAAGACCCAGATCCGAGTTAAGGTAGGAAATAATAGAGAAAGATCTGTTATCTTGGCTAAGTTCACCCCCAAGCTCAACTGGGATGCTCCCATTGACCCCAAGCTCAGTCAGAATCTCCACTTACCACATTGGGACGCTTGACAATATTGGCCAGTTTGGTGTGGCTGAATTCCAGGCTGATCATGTTGTACAGCTTCTCGCGCTCCACCTCAGGGGTTTCGTAGTACCGCACAAATTGAGCCATGCTCATTTCAATGCCTTTTTGGGTGTTCACATCCACTACATCTACGATCCGTCGGCTCCCTGGAAGAGTTGGGAAAATACAGCAAAGATTTTATTCCTAGCAAAGACTTTCAAAATAAACACAAGAAAATTCCAAATACTGTATAGTGAGAATCAAGAGTCATTCAAACTGGCTGATATTTCTGGTATCTGGTACATCCTACAAGATACCCAGGACCAGCTTGATAATTATTATACTGGCTTTACTTTCATATTCAAATTAACTTTTAATCATCCTCAGTATTTTTCCCTAAATAAGAAGGAGGATACCGAAATTATACCACGAATTTTCAATTCTCAGACATGGCTCTATTCTGCAAAATATAGATTTGGGTGCAAGTGCAGCCTGCAACCTCGGTTATGTGTTCTCGGTTTAGCTTCTCACTTGCATGATTTACACATAATACCCTGTTCGTTCTTTTATTTAAAAAAAAACACACCAAAACTCAAATCTGAACATCAACGCATCATTTTTGCATTATGGAAAGATGCATAGAAACTTACCCACAAGCATTTTAGCATCTTGGGCAGTGAAGTCTGGATCGGGCATTCTGAAACGATGAAAGACATAGGGATTAAATTAAATGCAAAACAGAGAGTCGAAATCAGAACAACAACACACTAACCCTGGCTAAGAGGCAATCACAAGGACAGAATTTAAAATCCTCCCTTTCCCCCCACTCATTTGCCAACTGTAGTTCTTGGGAATTTCTTCTCTGAATTTGAAGTTTTCTCTTCTGCCTCTGCAGCTGGCAGCCACCATCTTATCTATGTTCCTCTCCTTTTTTCTTTCCTTCCTTCCAAAAAAAGCTCTTTTATGCTAGAGCAATGAAGTCACAAGGTTCTCCGCCATCCTGAACATCCAAGCTTCCTTCTACTTCTCTGACCCCTCAGTGCAATTTTTTTTTTTAAAAAAAAGAAGTTGGTGATTGGATGTTCTTTTTGATACTGATGGTTAAACTTCCCTGTTAGGACAATTCTCCTTATCATAGCTTTGACCTGTAAGCCAATCTCAGCATTGCTATATGACAATTTGAAGATACAAAAAAGAAGACCGGGAGACCTTGAATTATCCCAAGGATCATCTTTAGAAAGATAGGGTTTTTTGCATAACCGGTCTAGGCGCTTAGCATCAGTTCTGCTCGTTGAATTAGAAGTTTTCCAAGGTCCCCAATTCCTAGCCAGATTGCGAAGCTCAGGGTAGCCCCTTCTCTTCATAGGAAGAATAAAAATCACATATGTATGACTTCGGCAGCTGAATAGAATAGAATAGAATAGAATAGAATAGAATAGAATAGAATAGAATAGAATAGAATAGAATAGAATAGAATAAGAAATATAGAATAGAATAAGAAAAATAGAATGGAATGGAATAGAACCTTGGAGGTCATCTAGTCCAACCCCCTGCTCAGGCAGGAAACCCTATATCATTTCAGACAAATGGCTGTCCAGTCTCTTCTTAAAAGCTTCCAGTGTTGGAGAATTCACAACTTCTGGAGGCAGGTTGTTCCACCGGTTAATTGTTCTATCAGGAAATTTCTCCTTAGTTCTAGGTTGCTTCTCTCCTTGATTAGTTTCCGCTATACATTTGTTTATCAAATAACAATAAATGAGTGTTTTCTTCTGTAGCATCTTTCCTCAAGAGAAGGGGCTTTGCCACAGCTGAAAACCCACCAAGCACACAGTTCCTATCCCAGCTTGGCTATAAGACTAGATAAAGACAAAAGGATAATATATATTAAGAATAGGGTGATCTTACTTAATTCCCAGTCCAGCCTTACTTCGGAAGATGAGAGGGACTTTCAGCGCTTCCCGCTGCACGTATTCAAAATTGAAATCTGGGGGGGGAAAAGGCAGAGAAGGTCAGAGACAGATCAGTGGTAAGATTTCAGCCATTAAAAAAGAAGCCTGGCAAACACAAGTAGCCTCGACTTACGACCAAAATTGGGATTAGAATTCCGGTTGCTAAGCAAGGCGGTTCTTAAGGGAGTTGGACCCAGTTTTATGAGCTTTTTTCCTTGGCTGCTAAGTGAAGCGCTGCAGTCGTTAAACGAATCATGCAATCGTTAAGCAAATCCCTCCCTCCCCTCCGTGACTTTGAACGTAGGAAGCCTGCTGGGAAGGTCATAATTGTGATCACGTGACCTCGGGATGCTGCGTCCATTGTAAATACACGTTGGTTGCCAAGCAACTCGGATGTTGATCACATGACTGCAGGGATGGTGCAACGGTTGTAAGTGTGAGGACTGGTCGTTAAGTGACTTTTATCAGTGCCGTGCAGCTCTAAATGGTCGCTAAACAAATGGTTGTAAGTCAAAAACCACCTGTGGAAGAAATCCACATTTCTTAAGAGTAGCTGTTTAGTGGTAGTCATAATACGCTTTGCTTTTAGCAAGTCTGAACTCAGACATCGAGTTTAGTTTTTCAAAGCGAAATTCTTCTAACCTCCCTTCCTCGTCCTACGTCCGTCGTTCAGTAGAGTTAACCAAATGGTACATGCAGGTATGCTTTAGACAAGGGGTTTTTTTTTGTGCTGGTTCTGTAATTTTACATTTCTTTCAGGCTCCATGTTGAGAATCATTAACGTTGTTTCCTCTCCTTCCCAAAAGAGGTCAAACGTGGGCTAGCTTTGTCCTCATCCTAATAACTCTCTGCCTCTAGTTTTTTCCTCTTCACAACAACCCTGCGAGGCAGCTTAGGATGCATGCAAAGGTGACAGATTCAAGGTTAACCAGCAAAGTCTCCTCTTCTCAAGGAGACTTGATTTCAAGATGCCACTAAGCTCTTGACCGTCTCTCTATGAATAATTACATTTTAATTGGCAATCGTTCAAAAGTGAAAAATTAATGAACTTTCAATCATTGAAAACCCAGGCTAAACATTTTAAATAGTTGAAAAACCCCCAAATCCTAGGAACATTTAGCAGGGAGTTAGACCCAATAAACAGATGGAGGACTACTTTCTGGGAAAATGTACTTAAAATGTCCATTGAAAACCCGGTTCCTATAAAGCTAAGAGACGCCAGAGAACAAATTATCCATCCAGTTCTAGCTTCTCCAGTTATTTGGCACCACAACTCCCACCATCCCCAGCCAGGACCAAGGACCAAGCCCATTATCCCCGGCCAAGCCCAAGTTGGCACATCTGGGGCCTCAGAAACAGTCCTGAGCATTAAAAGCAACCAGATCCCAGACGACAAAGTCTGAGGGAAAATATTCAGGGCCATGGAGTCCTCAGCCCTCTCTCAGGTGGGTCCTTGGAGGGGTCTCAATGACCTCCATTTTCTCTTTGCCCACCGGAAAAGGGACCCTCACTCTCGCCTCAGTTCAGACATGGGGGTGGTCCCCTTTTGGGGCTGGGGGCAGCTGGGAAAGTCAGGCTCAAGGGGAAGGTGGGACTCCAGCCGGGCCTGAGGCGACCCCTCCGGAGGGCCCAAGCGGACAGGGGGCGGCGGCAGAGACAGGCCGGCCGGGAGCCGCTCCGCCGCCTTGGAGCGCGCATCCGCCGCTTCCCCTGGCCCGCCTGGGCGGCGTCACCGGCTCCCCCGGCCCGGGCGCGGCTGGCGGGAAATACGAAGCCGGGCCGGGCGGCACGTGGGCGGAGGCGGCGAGGCCGTCGGGCCGCTGCGCTCACCTTGGCCGTCCATGGGCCGCACGAAGTCCCCGCGGTAGCCGCGGCTCCTCAGCTTCTCCTCCAGGTCGAAGCCGCGCACGCTGACGATCTCCTCCACGTCGGACAGGTCCTCGTTCTCGTCGTAGAGGCGCCGGCCGATGCAGCGCTGCACGGGGGCAGACAAGGCGAGGGGCGCGTCGCTGGGGGAGCCCGGGCAGGGGCCCGCGGGCGCCGCGCTGGGCAAGGAGGGCGGCGGGGGGCGGCCCCGCACGGCCGGCCTCGGACCCTCTCTGCTCTGGGCGAGGCCAAGAGGCCAAGCGGCCCCGCTTGCTCCGTCCGGGCATCGCTCTGCCCTGCATGCCCGGACCCGTGTTTCGGGGGCGCGCGTGTGAACCTGCCCGGGGACTCGGGTGCTTCTCGACTCGGGGCCACAAATCCCCGCTATTGCCCCCATGCTGCGGGGTTTGCTCCTGCATTCTGCCTGCGAGAGACCCTCCCTCCCTCCCTCCCGGGCACCTTTTCTGCCCCCGTTCACACGACCACTCTCCCGATCGCGGGCATCCCTTAGCAACGGCTCGCCCAACACACGCCGGGCGAGTCAGCAGCAACAAGCCAGCCCGATTTACATAAGACTCGCAGGCTGCCCGAGTCATACCGGAAGCCGGCCTTTTAAAAAGCACACGGCGTTATGTAACACGGGGGTCCCCGCCCGCAGCCCCCCAACCCAACAGGATCTCTCCCACCCGCCTCCCCCCCAACGCGCGCATCGCGGCTTCCCAAGCCGGGCTCAGCTTCCCGGGCGCCCAACGTGGAAAACCCCAAGTTTTGGGTGGGGGGTCTTTTCTGCCCACCGGGACCAGATCTGGGGATGGGAAGAGGAGGGGTGGCGGGGGGGGGGAAGAGCAGGGGAGTTAGGGAAGAATTAAGCCTCCTCGCCCCCTCCCCCCAAAGCAGCAGAGGCGAGGCCCAGATCCCCCCCCAAAAAACAAGGCGGCTGCATGTGTGAGGACGCGACTTGCGCGCCCCTCCGCCATAGGATCGGCAGCGGCGGGAGGGGAGGGGGTCCACGCAGGAGCTTCCCCTCCCCTCCTCTCTCTTTTTCCCTCTCTCTCTTTGCCACCCCCACCCCCGCCGGTAGCAAATCCAGGGTCTCCCCGCGGCTCGTTTAGATGCCCAGCCGGCCCGCAGGCAGTCCCGATCGCGCCCCCTCCCCCCCACCGCGGCAAACCCCTCCCGGGGGGGTCTTTCCTCTCCTCGATCTCGCCTCCCCCCCCCCACCCGCCAGCCGAGCCGAGAAAGTACACACCAGTCTCCTGGGCGAGCCTCTTTCTGCCTCCATGATCTGAGCACTTTCATCTCTTAAAAGAGTCAACAGTTCCTCCTTTGGGTCCTGCTGCAAAGGTCGGGGGGGGGGTTCCTGCCGGGCNAGCTCCGAAAGCAAAGGATCGCTCAGCAGGGGTGGGGGGGGAGGAGGAGGGGGTGGGCGATGCTTTATGTTTTTTTTTCTTTCTGCTTTTGTGGTTGTTTGTTTGTTCTTTTGCTTTCCCCTGCGGGGCGAGGGGGGGGCTCTAGGTTTTCTTATGCAAAAAGTCCCGCAAACAATCCTTTTCGCAGCCTTCGGCGTGCAAGGGGAAGGAGAGGAGGGGGCGCGCAGGCGTCACGCGAGTCCCCGGAACATAAACAGTGGGGAGGGGACCGGGCCGGGAGGGAGGGAGGGAGTGGGTTGGTGGGAGGGGGGAGGAGAAAAGGGAAATCCCGGATCTGGGCGCCCAGGATCGCTGCCTTCTCGGGGGCGCCCAGGCTGGGAAAGCGCGCGCGAGGATTGGGGAGGGGGGCGATCGGGTGTTGTGGTCGGATCACGAGTCTCCGCCAGCGCGCAGGCGCTGCAACTGGCCTTGGGAAGGGGGGGGGATGAGTGCACGCGCCTGTATGCACGCACGACTGGGGGAGTGGCCCTTTTTTTTCCGCGCGGGGGGGGCGCTGTTGGTGGAAAGAATGTCCGGGTCGCTGCGCTCCGAAGCGCTGGAGAAGCGGCTCTTGCAGGCCGCCTTTGACTTGCCGCGCGTGGAGTTGGGGGGGGGGAGGTTAAGGGGGGGACGGGCTGGCAGAGAGACCCTGCAGGCCGCAGGAAGAGGAAGCCGGAGGCTGGGGGCCAAGCGTCGCCGCCTCTTCCTGGGCTGGCGAGCCTCGCCTCGCCTCCTCCTCCTCTTTCCCGGAGCCAGTGCAGGCGCGGACGGGGGCAAGCGCACGTGGGGAAGCCTTTGCCCACCCGAGTTGGGACTTGCATCTTTCGGGGGTGATGCGTGGGGGGGGGGAGGATGGAGCGCGGCCAGCTCTCGGTCCGTTACCCGGGTGCCCAGAGGCGCGAGTGGGGCGGCCTTCGGGACCCACTTCGCTCCCTCGCGGCGGTGGGTTTGGGTGGGCGAGGAAGCCGTCTTCGCCACGGGAGGAAGGGCTGCTCCTGCCCGCCGTGGCCGGAGATGATGGGCATCCTCGGCCGAGCCAGGTGGGGCAGCCCCCCTTAGTGGGGCTGCTCAAAAACTGGATCGGGAGTGGAGAGGTTTCCGGCGTGGATGGAGTGTCCCGTGGAAGTTTCATCTCCTGAGTGGAAGGGGGGCCACGCGGCAGAGATGGGATGAGTCTACTTTGCAGGGTGGTTGGGGGAAAGACTTGAGATTGTGGCTCCCCCCGGGAGAAAAACGGGATTTTTGCTTCCATTTCAATTTTCCCAGGAAATAAAAACTTCAGATAAGAGAATTGGCCTTTTTGCTGTCTGTTTCCTAAAACTGACAGGAGGATAAACTATCCAAATTCGGAGTGACGTGACTACTAACCTCTTCCTAATGGGGTGGCTGTTAAACTGGTGTGTGTGTGTGTTGCCATTCAAGCTTTCCTGGAGACCCCGCCTGGACCTCAGGACCCTCTTCCCAAAGCATCGGTGCATCCATTTCCTCCTATATAGGGCAGCTTAGCCATTGTCAAACTGCCCAGATAGCTTTGAAATGAGATGTATAGCAAATAATAAAATCATCATCATTGTTTAAAAAAGCACCTGGTGGTGGAACCCATGGCTGGTTGACAAACCCCAAGCTGGGGGAGATCGATTCCAGTGCATAATAAACCATGATTTCCAGCTTGGCACCAACTCCTCTAAGTTGCCTTGGCCGCCACAAAGTTTACACCGAGGAAACCTTGTAGCCCACTCTGGTTACTCTGTGGGGAGATTTCACGCGACCCATAAAGGAGAAAATGTGTAGCTCAGGGTTGCGCTGTAGGGTCTCGCTTGCTGGCGTTCTTGCGGACGTTTCGTGACCCAACTAGGTAGCATTATCAGTGTTAGTGGGGAGTGGGGTTTTGCACCTTCTACAACTGATGGTTATGAACCGTCTGCAAGAAAAGATCCAAGCTAAGAGAGCACTGAGAACCCCACAGTCTTCCTTCTCCACTCCACAAACCCCACTCCCTTCTCGCACTGATCACGTTCCCTTGTAGGGTCATGAAATGTCTGCAAGAAAACCACCCAGCTCAGAGAAAACCAAGGACCCCACAGACCTTTTTTGTCCCCCCTCCTCCTCTCCACAATCTCCACTCCCTTCTAACACCGATGATGTTCCCTAGCTGGGTCATGAAATGCCTGCAGGAAAACCACCCGGGACCCCTCCTCTCAATCTGCGCCAAGCCAACCGATTAGCTGGGGAGGGGGGGGGGTCTCTTCCAAATGGCTGGACTTCAACTCCCAGACTTCCGCAGGCAGCCCTGCCAAGGCCGAGCCTCCTGGGAGTTGAGTCCGCACAGCTGGCGGCGGGAGGAGGAGGGAGGGCTCCGCAAGGGGGTCGTCCCGGGCCGGGCCGGGCGGAGGCCTGGGCGGGAGTCCCGCGGAGGGGCGGGGGCTGACATCCGGCGCTGGCCCGGCCCCGGGGGCGGCGCAGGCGGGCCGGCGAGCGAGCAGGCGGCGGGCAGGCGGAGCGGCAGCGGCGAGCGAGGAGGGGGCGACGGCCCGGCGGGGCTGGCTGGGGGCGCCCGATGAGCCTCAACGAGCACTCGATGCAGGCGCTGTCCTGGCGGAAGCTCTACCTCAGCCGGGCCAAGCTCAAAGCCTCCAGCCGCACCTCGGCGCTCCTCTCCGGCTTCGCCATGGTGAGCGGGGCCCGCGGGGGTGGGGAGGATGGGCCCGGCAGTCGCGGGGGAGGCGGTTGCAGAGGGGCCAGGGCGGAAGAGCCCCCCCACACGCACTCCGCTTGGGGGGACCCCGGAGGAGCCTTTGGGGAGGGGGCTGTGAATGCGTGCAAAGGGAAGGGGGGGGTCCAGGCCGGGTGCAGACTTAGCACCCGGGCCGGGAATTAGGTGGGTCCCGCTTCCCCCCCCCTTTTTTTGCACCGGTCCCTCGCGGCTTCTCTGGTTCCGATTGTGCCTGTTGGCTTCCCCGCGTTTGCTCCTTCGCACGTGCAGAGTGCACGCGTCTTCCGGCATTTGCAACGGGGCTCTCGCCAGGGGCTTGCGAGTCCGTCTCCTTTAGGGTTGAGTTGGGTGGCAAAACGTCCCCCTGAATCTTTCTTGCCTGCCCACCATGTGTCCCGTCCCACTTTTATGACTTTATTGACATTGATTTGCTGCCCATCTCAACCGCAAGGTGACTCCGGGCTGCCTAGCATGTTAAAATTATCATTTTGTTATTTATAAGTGGCAACTGGCCCTCCTGCCTCCTCCGAACAACAATCCTGTGAGGTGGGTTGGGCTGAAAAAGAGTGAGCTTGGTCCAAAGTCACTTGGCTGGCTTTCCTGACTAAGGCAGGACTAGAACTCACCATCTCCTAGCTTCTAGGCCAGCATAACACCCTGCAGGTTCTGAGTCTTGTATGAATCCCTAGTTATAGGATCAATCTATGATGTCTGCATAGATTCAGGCTAAATCAGACATTTAGTGATGTAGGCTTGCTGTTGAAATGTCTGAGGAGAGAAGGCAAGGGCTGCTGATGTTGGTTTGAGGCATAGAATGGCCTGGCCAAAACTATTCAGTTACAGAACAGTTCAGCTCCTTACATCTGATTTGATTTGGGGTTACGGTTCTCACATGACAGAGGATAAATTCCAGCCTGCCCTGGGAAGCCCATCCATCCATCCATCCATGAGCAGCCAGGGATTGTTTTAAAAATGCAGCCGTCTTTTTCCAAGCCTTAAAGATTTCAGCAGTATTTATTTTACTCAGTATTTATTTTACTCTTTGGAGGTTTAATTCCTCTTTTCTTTTTCTTTTTAAAGTTGTTGTGATTCCTGTAGGATTGCCAGGTTTCAGGCGAATGGAACAGGATATGATTTCTGGATGGAGGCCTTTACAGAAAGGGGAAACCACGGTTCAAAAACCTCTCTTCCTTTTTGTATATTTAGCACTGTTTGTTCTAGCAGAGTTTTGACCTCAGGAGGTGCTAAGAATAAAAACCCTCTTTTCTGTTGTAAAAACTTAAACAGCTTTCTTGGCTTAAAAGATCCACTCCGCTTCAAAGGCTGAGTTCGTACATTGCTCTAAGCTCGGTTTGTTTAACCGTGGACTGTGGAATAAAACACCATTGCTTGAGTGTGTCAATTTCCTTAGGCTGTGAAACCCACCCCCCCAAAAAAAACCATTATGAAGGCTTAACATGAAGTGTGAAACATAACATGAATTTCTTTTCAGATAGTCCTTGACTTATGTCCATTTGTTTAGCAACCACTCAGAGTTACGATGGTGCTGAAATAAAGTGACTGACGACCATTGCCCCAAGTGATTGCAATTCGGGCACTTGGCAACCGGCTTGCATTTATGATAGTCGCAGCGTCCTGGGGTGACAAGATCACCCTTTGTGACCTTATTAGCTGGCTTCTGACAAGCAAAACATGGCTGGACTTCAACTCCCAGAATTCCCCAGCCAACTGCATGAGGTTTCAGCAAAGCACAATAGGGTTTTAAGGATTTTCTCTTAACCCGGTCACACATCCCATGACTCTGCAACCATCATAAATATGAGACAGTTGCCAAGTGTCTTGAAATTTTGATCACATGACCACGGAGAGGCTGAAATGGTCCTAAGTGTGAAAAATGGTGATAAATCACTTTTTTTAAGGGCCGTTGTAGCTTCAAACGGTCACTAAATGAACTATTGTCAAGTCAAAGTTTACCTGTATAAGACATTAAAACTGCTCCAGTTAAACTCCTGAGTTTTACTTTTAGGGGCAAAAGAGTTTGCTTCCCCCCCCCCCAAAATAAATAAATAACTCATCCTCAACTTCTAATTGCTATCCAGATTTTATTGAAATTTATTTGGGGCTGCCTAGCCTCGGATACAGCAAAAGGCGGAGATTTCACTTCCTTGTTTACCTTTTCAGAGATCTGACCTGCTTAGGGATTTATTTATTTATTTATTTGCGTAGCGTATGACAACCTGCTTGGGCAGTTTCTTTCCAATGGAAATCCAGGAAGTCCTCGACTTAACAACAGTTCCTTTAGTGACCATTCAAAGTTACAGCAGCACTGGAAAAGGTGACTTACGACTGTTTTTCACAGATACTGACCTTTGAAGAATCCCCAGGGTCACGCGATCAAAATTCGATGCATGGCAACTGACTCATATTTATGACAGCTGCTCTGTCCCGGGGGGGGTCACGTGATCCCCTTTTTGCAACCTGATTAGCAAAGGCAAGGGGGAAGAAGGATCCATTTAACGACCAGGTTCCTAACCTAACAACTGTCGCGATTCGCTTAACAACTTTGGCAAGGAAAGTCGTAAAACGGGCAAAACTCGCTTAACAAGTGTTTCATGTAGCAGCAGAAATGTTGGGCTCCCTTGCAGTCGTAGGTCAAGGACTGCCTTTGTGCAGAATAAAAACCAACATAGTTTCTCTTTCTTTCTCCAAAGAAATCCTCGAAAAATAAGCTTTCCACGAGCACCAAGGTCCAGCTTTAATCGGTTAAAGCTTGCGAGTTTTGTTCTTTTCCAAAACCTGAAGCTACCTGATTCGGTAGCAATCTTGGCAATGAATTTTTTCGCCCCCTAATTGGCCAGGTTGTATTTTAGCATACCGCTAATGCTAGTGACCGAGCATTTTAACTGGGATTTTTTTTTTTAAAAAAATAATTCCATCTGGAGGAAGAAAGCAGCTTGTATTCATTCTTCTGAATTGTAATCTATTTGTCCTATCTTGGTTCCCCTGCAAAACTGGGGGGGGGGGGGATGTGTTTTTATATTGGCAGCGGAATAAAAGCCGGAAGTGTTCTCTTTTGTTTGGCTGTTTTTAATTGGCACAGCAAACGTTCGGTTTGAGGCAGGTTTTTTAATTTCCTTTGTACCTCTTCAGGCCAGATTGCAAGGTGGTTTTTCTCCGTTTCTGGGGGAAAGGAGCTAGCCGTTCCATAAATGCGTCACTGCCGATTCTCCGAGCAAAGTGGTGCTGGCTGCCTGCCCAAAACTCAACGGATCTTTTCTCTTTTTGCTTTTCTTAGCCTCCTTTCTTAGCTGGGAGAGCAAAGGAGAGGCTCCCAGGGTGTCAACTGTGTATTGCTAGAAAACGAGGAGGCTTTGTGCCAGCAGATTCTCTTTCTCCATAAAGCAAAATTGACTTTTTCCTCCGCTGTTTGGAAGCCTGAATGGATTCACCTTTCAGAATTCAAAAAAATAAAAATAAATAAATCCTGGGCGGTCAAAACGGGTGACACGGATAGAAGGTTTTGATGCTTTGTGGGCCTTTGATGCCACCTACCTTTTGAGAACCTCACCTAGTTTTGGGGAAGGTGGATGTTCAAAGTTTAGGGGGTGAAACTGTCAACCACCCCTTCCCATTCATTGGCAAAGGATGAGTTTTTCAACTTTGCTCGACATTTGGGTTCCCAAGAAGACCTCTGCTTCTCTACCCTTTGACAGCCATCTGTTTCCTTCCTCTTTCTCCAAAGCCAGTTCCCGTCTGTCTGTCGATCCGGAATTTGAAAACTTATGTTTCCTCCCTATAGTTTTGGAGTCTTGGCTCTTTTTTTTTTTTTTTTTTGATTTGGCACTTAACGTTTTGTGCAAATCTAGCCATTGCTCTTTGCAAACTATGGTGGGTTTGACTAACTATGGTTAAAAAAAGCTTGGACTTGGCATGAGAAGAGAAATGGGACATGAGCCGCTAGTTTTATTGATGGTTTGCTGTCCATGCTGCATGCTAACCAGAGTTATATTGGAGGGGTGTTGTTTTTTTTCCCTCACACCAAGGGTTCAATCACGGTTAAGGAGTTTCCTGTATAGTAAACACATTTGGGTAACTTTCTTTTTACCTTTTATTCCCCTTGGTGTAAGAAACTAAAGCAATACCCATCTACAATTACTGGAAAACAGCCACTCATTTGAAACTCTTCTAAAGAAATGCCCACACGTTTTCAACTCTGTGTAAGCAACCACAAGATTCATATCTTGTTTTTCATTAAAATGGGGCTTCTGAAAAAAAAACGCTTGATTTCAGACTGGAGCATGTCTTAATGTCAATTGGAGTAGAATTCCATGGGTAAAGGGGACACCACCAACAGGGCCCCATTATTCAGGTCCCTCAGCCTCAAAAGCTATTTGAGAGCCTTTTCTTCATTGTCTATTCCCTTCCAGGTGGCCATGGTGGAAGTCCAGCTAGATGCGGAACACGACTACCCTCCAGGACTCTTGATAGCCTTCAGCGCTTGCACGACCGTCCTGGTGGCCGTCCACCTCTTTGCCTTGATGATCAGCACTTGCATCTTGCCCAACATTGAGGCCGTCAGCAACGTCCACAACCTCAACTCGGTCAAGGAGTCGCCCCACGAGCGCATGCACCGCCACATTGAGCTGGCTTGGGCCTTCTCCACCGTCATCGGGACTCTGCTCTTCTTGGCTGAGGTGGTGCTTCTCTGTTGGGTCAAATTCCACCCGCTGAAGAAGAAGACGGGCCCCGGCATGCAGGCCAGCAACGGCACCATCACCGCCGGTGAGGCTGCAGCCATCACCTCCACCACCATCATGGTCCCCTTCGGGGTTGTCTTCATCATCTTTGCCGTCCACTTTTATCGTTCGCTGGTGACTCACAAGACGGATCGTCAGTTCCAGGAGCTGAACGAGCTGGCCGAGTTTGCCCGCTTGCAGGACCAGCTGGACCACAGAGGGGACTCCTTACCATCTCCCGGCGGCCATTATGCCTAAAAAAGTGCCCTCGGGTTGGGAAGATCGAAGATGATGGAGCCAACCAAGTTCTTCTGAACTTTCTGGGCCCGAATTTGTTTGAGCTGCAATCTCCGCGTAGGGAGAGAGGTTACAGGAGTAGAAACTGGACGGTGACTTCTTAGGGCTTTAAAGAAGTAATAATAAACCAATAAAAGGCGAAAGAATTGTTCTTGTCAGATTGTGGAATACGAACATCTAGGATTCCTGCCCGTCGCCCACCGCTCTCCTGGCCCTTGCTGTGAACCGGGTTTGTTTCCTTTGAAGTGGTTCATCAACAGAGAAAATGCCAAAAAAATAAAATAAAATATGACGGTGGGTGGGTGGGGTAATTAGAGATCTGGAGGGAAGTAGTTTACCTTGGACTCTTTTGTGTCAAATAACAGGCTGGCTGGAGTCGTGCGCCGCCTGGAGGCAGAAGTTCTTGAGAACTTCCAGGGTCTAAGTTTGGTTTTATTCACTGACTGAAGCAAAACAGGCAAGAGAGAGAGACACACAGAGCCGCCCCCCAGCCACAGGTCAGCCCATAACCAGCTTCTAAAGAAGCAGCTTTTCCTTTTTAAAAGGAAACCCAAAACCCTGGTTTCTAGTCCTCATTGAGGCAGAGTTAGATTTAAAGACCCATCTACTCTGCCTGTTGAAAAAAATTTAGAATTTTGTGGGGAGTGAGCACGCAATCAGGCTGGGGAGATTTTTTTTTATACTCTTCATTTTTTCTACCACTCCCAGATTTAAGAGAGTTCAGAAAAGTCAGTGTGTGTTTCCCCAGGGCTTTTGTCAGAATCTGGTTTCCATTTTTGCAGAAAGAGGGACTTTTTTTTTTGCCAGCCTTCCATAATTTCTTTTAGGAAGAGAAGGCACAATAATTCTGCATCTACCAGGGAAAGGCCCACGAAACTCTGCGGGTTTGTGTGTGCGTGTATGCGTGCGTATGTATCAGGAAAGCATTAATCCCCCAGCATAAGTCATTTATATTCCCGCCTTGCAGAATTCTGTTTGAAAGAAAGCTTCTGTGCTAAAATCCTTGCCCAGTGAAGCTGGACGAGGGTCAGAAAAGAGACGGAAGAGCTATTTGTTCGGTGGGCTTCCTGATCATTTAGAACAGGGGTAGTCAACCTTGGCTCTTTTATGACTCGTGGACTTCAATTCCCAGAATTCCTGAGCCAGCTTGGCTGGCTCAGGAATTCTGGGAGTTGAAGTCCACGAGGCATAAAAGAGCCAAGGTTGACTACCCCTGATTTAGAAGCAGACGTTCCTCCTGTATCTAGTGCTGCCTTGACAAGAGTTTGCACTTTGTTTAAATGACTACTGGAACATCTCAGAATGGTTTAACCACTGGTTCACCCTGTCGTTTTTTTAGCCTGGGATTCTTGAATGCTGGGCTTAGACATCTCGGCTGCTAATCCAATTCAGAGACACTGGGGTTGGGTTTCCCGCAGAAACGTTGGGCTTTATCCTCTCTTGAAAATAAAGATGGGCTCTTCCTTGTTTAGCAGGTCTCTTACCCTAACCCTAACCCACTTCAAAGTCCACGAGAGAGGAGAGACCTGGAATGTTATATCAGAAATGAAAAAAAACAAGCTTTCCTCTTCAACAGACTGTAAGGACCAAAACAGCAGCTTTGATAGCCACAAGCTGCCCCCCTTCCAGCAACCGTTGGGTGTGGGTTAGAGACTTCCTTCCTGAGAAAACACACTGAGAAAAACAGGTTGGGGAGGGGGAGATGCTGCCTAGGTGGGATTCGGGGCCAGGAGTTCCAAAAAGACTGGGAAACTGACCGGAGCAAGCTACTGCTGTCCATCCCAAAGTGTTTGGTTGTAGTTTAGAGCCAATGGTTGCACTGAATTATTAATGCAATGGAGGAAATCACTGAATCTCTCCTTTATCTCATCCGATCGGCTGAATTCGATTTAAGGTTTTTTTGCTGCGTTAATGTGAAGCGAGGACCTCCGATGCTCTGCTCACGGCCCAGAGTAGGTGCCTTCTCTGGAAATGGGGTGGTTCTCTGCATGGAAAAATAGGGGCATGCAAAAATGAGGTGCACAGGGCTTAGTCTACCCCAGGTGTACTTGTGGACTTCAATTCCCAGAATACCCCAGCCAGGAGTTGAAGTTCACAAACCTTAAAAGTTGCCTAAGCTGGACACATTTGGTCTACTCTCTACCCTTAAAAGAAAATAAAATACTGCATTTATTAGATTTTTGGCACTTTGTACAGGACTCCCCAGAGACATATTTCTGGTTATTCATTTAACTCCCCCCCCCCAACATTTTGGATAAGATTTCAGGGTCTCCACGTCAGACTTGCTGGAGAGCACAAGGTTGCAAATTCAAACTCAGGTGTTCCTCAACCAATCAGGGGGCTCCAAAAGAGAATATTTTTAACCCTTATGTTAACTGAGTGACTGGTAGACAAGGAAAAAACAGCTGGTTTTTTCCTTTGTAAACGGCTATCATGTAAAAATAGTTCTTAATAAAAAAAAAACGAGTGAATATATATTTATCAATAAGAATAAATTAGAGACAAATACCGTACTAAGATTGGTTTGAATTTTTTTAAAAATTTGTAGGAATGGGGCTCCGGCTTTTTAAATATAATCTGTTCTCTGTTTGCTTGAAAATATATATTTTAAGAGTACTCATTTTGAAGGATAAGTCCTGTCATTGATGCACGGTTGACTTCTGAAAGTGCTTATCGAAGGGAGAGTTAAAATGGGCCTTTTTATTTTGATTTCTTTGTTTCCTTGCTCCATTTTTTATTTTTAGTGACTCAGAACATGGTAGGTTTCAAAATTTTCCTGCAGGAATGCGGGCGTGTTTGAATTGGAGAGCTATTTCGGGGCGTGTTCAGATAGGAAAACACATTTGTACTCCTGTGTGTGTGTGTGTGTGCTTAATCCAGCCATTGTGTTCTTTGAAGTCATTGTTGCCTTTATAAAATACTTTGGCTTATCTTATTTTTATGGGCATCCTCAAAAAAATTTTTAAAAAAATCTCCAAACTTTCTAATTGTAGAAATCAAACCCTTAACCCACATAGTGGCTGCAAAATAGGAAAATCTTCTGAACTTGGATGAGAACAAGGAATGGAGAGAGGCTGGCTGGGGAATTCTGGGAGTGGAAGTCCACCCTGCTTAAAGTGGACAAGGCTGAGAAACAGTGCTTTTGGCAGAGATCATTTTGAATAGCACTGATGATGTTACCTAGTTGGGTAATGAAATGTCTGTTGAAAACAACCAAGGTCAAAGAACACCAAGGACCCCTCATTAATCATCTAATCAGAATACAGCTGGAAGGGACCTTGGCGGTCTTCTAGACTAATAATTTCATTATTATTATTATTTTCCCTTGGCAAAATTTGGTGGGACGGTGTCGATTGATTCTTTCAGCCCTCCTTCCATGTTTTGTGAAAACTAACACAGTAAATAAAACAGGAGATTCTGCCATGCACATTGGTTGAACCGGGGGCGAGGTGCGTGTATTTCTTTAATCAAATTTCTTTGAAGACCGTGAACATTTGCTCAGCAATTGCCCAGATGACTAGAAATGAAAGTAGGAAAATTAAAATTATTTTTCCAGTTTACTTTCGTGATGCTTTTTCCTCTGTTTTCGGGAAAGCGTGTCGGAGTTTTCCTTTTCGACTGCTGCTTTTGAACCCTCAGGGGGGAAAAAAAGCAAAATATTTAGCACCTCCTAACAGGTTTCACACTCAGACAGAACTTCAAATTTTGGCTGGCTGGATTTTGATCTCGGCTTTTTTTTTTTTTTTTTTGCACCCACACAGAGTGATTTTTCTAATAGTGCTACGTTTGAGGTTGGTTAATTTAAATTTTTTTTAAAAAAAAATACAAGTCCAACATTTTTTAAAGGCTCTTGAAATGGTGGCTTGGAGTTTATGTTAGATTTAAGCAACATTTACAATGCTGCTGGAAAAAGTGACTTACAACCATTCCTCGCACTTACGACCATTATAGCATGCCCATATGATGGAAATTCAGCCGCTTGAATTCAGTCGTACCATCCTAGGGTCACGTGATCACGGTTTGTGCCCTTCCCAGCCAGGTTCTGACAAGCAACATCAATGGGGAAAGCTGGATTCGCTTAACAATTGCATGATTCACTTAACAACCTCTGCGGTTCATTTCGCATCCGTGGCCAAAGAGGTCAGAAAATCGGGCACGAATCACTTAAGAATCGCTTTGCTTAGCAATGGAAATTTGTTGTAAGTTGAGGACTATCTGCACTCCTCTTCGGTCATAATCGATCCAGAGGTCTTTGAGAATCTCTGCTTGGTCTCCTATCCATACCTCCCTTTCAGCTGCTAAACTACCCCGCCTAAGGAAAGAAAACAAGGAAAAGCCCAAAAGACAGCCAGGATAATATATTCCAAGGAATGGCATCCATCAGAGAGACCTTTCTGTTAAAAAGCAGCCTTGACCAGAGAAATGTCTGCAGAATTATAGTCATCCTCGTTCTTTCTGGGGCTGAGAATTGAATATTTCGGCGTTCTGTAATATCAGAACAGCTTCTTCTAAGACTCCGTCTGGATCCGCCAGTTCAATCTGGAAGGAAAAAGAAAAGAACTTAGTTGATCAGCTAGAACGAGTAGTTTCTGCTGACAAGCTACTCTATTAATGTATTTGTTTGCAGCCCATCTCGCTGCGAGGCGACTGTATGCAGGAAATCCTTAACTTACGACCACGGGACCAGAATTTCCCGTAGTTAAGAGAGTCACGCCCAATTTTATGATCTTTTTAGCCACGGTGGTTAAGTGATTCAACAAATCAGGTGGTTATTAAGCCTGTCTGGCTTCCTAACTGACTTCGCTTGTTGGAAGGCGGCTGGGAAGGTTGCGACAGGCGATCACGCGACCCCAGGATGCTGCCTCTATCAGAAATAGAGGCCGGTTGCCAAGCGTCCCAAATTTTGATCAGGTGAATTGGGGACACTACAACAGTCGTTGTGTGCCACTTTTTTTCAGGGCCACTGTACCTTTGAATAGTCGCTAAAAAAATGGTTGTAAGTCAACGGCTACCTGTATATAAACAGGGAGCAATCCCCACTCCCTACTAGCACTGATGAGATTGCCTAGCTGGGTGATGAAAGGTCTACAAGAAAACCACCCAGCTCAGAGAGCACCAAGCACCCCACAGGTCAATCCCAAGCTTCTTCGGTTGGAGTTTCAGCTTTATCCAATGATTTATTAGCCAAGCTGTTTACTAACTAATTTATTGACAATGATTTATTAACTAAGTTCTAAGCATGGCTGGCTGGGGAATTCTGGGAGTTGAAGTCCACCTATCTTAAAGTTGCTAAGGTTGAGAAACAATGCTTTAACCTCATGACCAAAACTCATGGGAAGAAGCGCCTTTAGAATCCGGACCCACACGGACTGCCCTTTACCTTGGGGATGGGGTATTGGGTGGGCACGGGAGCTTCATCCCTGCCAAAATCAACCATGGTGCCACACTTCGGTATGTCTGCCACCCAGTACCCTTCGTAGAGCTGGCCGGTGTCTAGATAGATAAACTTTCCCGGACCGTGTTTCTTTCCGTCTTTCCAGGAACCTTCGTAGCGGTTTTCATTTTCTGCCACGGAGAGAGAGGCAGCCATGTTTTCATTTGAAGGAGGAGAGATTTTTTGGTTGCCAATAAATCCCTTTTTAGTTAGCACGCGGGTTCTGGATGGAACCCAGAAACACTAGGAAGTATCTCTCAGATGCCCAAAACTTACTACTGAAAGCAGAGTAGCCTTGGTTGAGAATCCGCCCTTTTTAAAATATAGAATAAATTTAACTCTCATAATTTTTGTGGTTCATCGCCTAGTTCAGACTGGATTTGGCATTTTTATCTTTCAAGTCCTTCCCAAGGATCTGAGATAGGTAGATTCAATAGTGTTCGAGGTCTCGCTGCAGGATTTCAGCTGCTCCGAATCAAGCTGCCTTTTGCAACTGACTGATGGGGAACTTGTCAATGCCAAAATTAAATAATAATAATAATAATCTATTCCCTTTCTGCTTTCTTGCAGAGGGTCTTATCATCCTGAGATCAAGTTGGTTAAGAGCCCAAAGCACAATGCCAAAGAGGATTTATAAGAACAGTAGATTAATGAGCTGTCCTGGGAGGAAAGTAAAACGGATTCACCCAGAATTTGGGTCCAGGAGAATGTTTTTTATTGCGAGAAAAATGAGATCGCAGGGCTGCTGCCTCTGCCCTTCTCCAGCCTTTCTGTAACAGTGAGTCAAACCCACATTAATGGCCAGTGTCAGGTTGCAAGCATGTAGCCAGCATGGTCTATGGCAGCCGTCTCCTAGTCCTAATCCTAAACAGGAGACATGCCAACCACATGACTCCCACAACTGGCAGCTTGGAGGACATTGGCAGCCGCCAAGGCCGATAAAATTAACCTTGCAGGCTAATTTTAGCCTAAGGAAAAATCCAGTTGAGACACTCGGTTTAGGAATACCTTTGCAAAACCTTTAGGAAGGTTGAAACCCTTCAGATTTAACAAAGGGTTCCTGTCCAGAATTTTCTGAAACTTGGCAAACGATTCTTTCTTTGGAAATTAGACTCTAGTCTCTAGTGAGGTGCCAACAGCTGAGAGGTAGATGGGATTAACCTATTTTTTTTTAATAAACTCTTGCAAGTCTGGAAGTTCAATTCTCCTGCTATGTTTTACAGCCTGAGAAACTAGGGAGGGTCCCTCCTGAATCTCATGTCCCACCCATTAGCTAACTGAGGGCTAAGCAGTCTCTTATCTAATAGTTCCTTTGGCAGCCTTTCTTTGCTCCCTGTCCCAAAGTCTTTCTCACATACCATTACATCTGGCCATCAGTGCAGCTGAGTTGGACACTTACTACAGCGAAACATCCCCTGACCACCGGGCTTGTCTTCGGACCACTGGCCTTCGTAGATGGCCCCGTCTTTGTAGTACATCCGCCCCCAGCCGTTTCGCTTCCCCCAGGCCCATTCGCCCTCGTAATACTCTCCCTCGGAGTAGAACTTAACTCCGTAGCCCTGAAAGGGTGAAAGAATCCGGATGAGAGGAATGGATGACTGACTCTTTGTGGGTGTGAAATGACACAGGAGGAGATTAATGATTGTGGCCTTGGTTAAATTTAATTCAGAAATCCCATTTTCCAAATAAACTGGTTTCCTCCCCACGATTATTCTAAATTGTACATGGCTGTCCGGTGAAATAATTCCACTCTCCTGTCACATTCCCCCCACCCCAAAGCAAAACCCTGGCCCAATTAAAAAGCATATAAACTCACCCACATTTTGTCATTCTTCCACCAGCCGGAATATACTTTCTTATAATCTTTTGTCACAGGGTCCGGAATACTGTAAGTCCCGAAGCCGTCTCGTTTTCCGAATTTCCAGTCTCCGCTGTAGATCGCTCCGGATTTTTTCCATATTTGTGTTCCTTTGCCTGCCAAGGTTCCAAAGGGAAAAAAAAACTGCAGGTGAGACACTGTGGATGCCAGCCAAACATCCAACAGGTGCAGCTGCCCTCCCTTCCCCTCTTACCGTGTTTGATGTTGTCCAGCCATTCCCCGACGTAGCGGTCTCCGTTGACAGCGTAAACCGTGTGCCTCAACCCGCACTTTTGCGCCTTCCTGTCCCATTCGTGCCAAAGGGGGTCCACTCTTCGGGGGTATTTGATGATGGGCATCTCGTCTGGAGCAGAGAAAGACGGGGAGAGAGACGGAGCCATCGCCTGGAGCCGGTGGGCCCAGCCCTGGATGTATGCGTTATTTATTTATTAAATTGATGTGCTGCCCATCTCACACTGACAGTCACTCTGGATGCCTTACGGCATAGACCAGTTCCATGGAGAAAGATTTTTCCATGGAGCAGAGAGTGCGTAGTTTTGCATGTTGTCTGCATCCCATGGATGGGGCTTCGCTTGTTTGTGCAGACCGGTTGCTGGCATGCCGCAGCCCGGTAGCGATCCACGGACCAGGGGTTGGGGACCTCTGCCCTAAGCGCTGAGCTGTTCAGCCACGGGGGCTGAAATGAACCACCTTTGGCTCGATGGTACCATGCCCTCATCAGCCTTGATTCATAAACCACAACGCCCAGATACATGCCAACCCATTGAGGCCAACCTCGTCAAGCCAACCTCTTGATAACTTGGCAGCATCTGTGAATCTGGTTGGAGATCAGCAGCTCAGCCCCCAAACCGAGTTACCTGTCCTGGTTCGTGCTTCTGTTCTTACACCTGGGAGCGGAGGTGATTCCGAGGGGATGTTCCTTCTGCTACTCCTCCCTTTTCACTACCGTCCCCGAAGCAGCCCTGCTGGTGTGGCCCTTCCGTGGAGCAGGGCTGAGGGATCCTGGCCCAGCTCCTGAGGTCATCACGACATCAAGAACCTGCCCTTATGACGAGGCGCTGATCTCCCAGGAGATCATCGCCTGGCCCGGCCCGCATCGTCCAGTTCCAGCACACCTGGATGGATGCAGCTGAGGCAGCCCAGTTTCCCTGGGACTCTCTCACGGGGAGGGAGCCCAGCCAGGCAGACCTCTTGGCCCGTCCTCCCGCCCCCTTCCATGGCTTTCTTGGAAGACTCTTCCAGACTCTTGGACGGCTCTTCAGAACCTCAGAGACCCCTGAGCTACCTCTTCTCTATTGATGTGGTGCCCTAGATGGGACAAAGAAGATCGTAGGATCCTCTAGGTCAGTGTTTCTCAACCTGGGCAACTTGGAGATGGGTGCACTTCAATCCCCAGAATCCCCCAGCCAGGAAATTCTGAGAGTTGAAGTCCACATGGCCATAGAATTCGGAGAGTTGAAATCCGCACGGCTGGGGAATTCTGGGAGTTGAAGTCCATGCCTCTTAAAGTGGCCAAGGGTGAGGAACCCTGCTCTGGAATGTTGCAGGCGAGAGAGGATAACCCTGCTTCAGCCCTTCAAAATCTTACCCACAATCATATCACAGAAAAAGAACCGGGATAGCCAAAAACTAGAAGAGGTTGCCCCCCACCTTTGAAGACTAAGAAAAGGCCTTAAAAAGACAGAAATGAAGCTTTTCTGGTCTCCAAAAACGGCGACTAAACTCCTCCGTATGTTTATATCCCTGGAAGCAAAATTGCAGGTGTATTTATTCCCCTCTTTCGTACTATATCCTCCCCCCCAATTGGCTGTATTCAGACCTGGTGTCTGAACTTTCCTCTCTTTCCTCTGCCCTCCCCATCGCTTTCTCCTCGATTGCCATGTCTTTCCATCAGAAATCCAGAGGACGCCTCTGGGAACTTTGGGGGACAAAAAAAAACAAGAGGAAAAGACGGCAAAGAAATAAATAAACATAAAGATGTAAATGGAGACCCACCTTGTACCTGCCATTGTAAGCTCAGGGGGCTCCAATCGAGGGCGCAGGGCGGCTCTGCCCCCGGGGGACCGCAGGGCCAATCCTGGGGGGTCATCTACGCTCAGCCCAGGCACAGAAGCCCGCGCGGGCAAGGGAAGTGGCCATAGCAACACGGCAGAGCCGCAATACGGCCAGTTCTGAAAGTTTCCTGCCCCCCAGAGGTCTTTCTGGCGAATGACACCTTTCCAAGGGCCACAGGGGCTCCTGGGTGATCCGGATCAGAGATTCTACCTGGGCGAGTGAGCTGCAAGCAAAAGGGTGGAAATCTCCGAGCCCTTCGCAGTTCAGTGCACCGTATGTGCAAGGCTGGCATCTGGGGGCTGCAAATAATTCCCTTCCCTCCTCCCCTCTCCTCCCCTCCCCTCTCCTTTCCATTTCATTTTTCCTTTCTTTTCTTTTCCTCTCCTTTCCTTTCCTCTCCTTCTTTCCGTTTCATTTTTCTTTTCTTTCCTTTCTGTTTCATCTCTCCTCTCCTCTCCATTTCATTTTTCCTTTCTTTTCTTTTCCCCTCCTTTCCTCTCCTTCTTTCCGTTTCATTTTTCTTTCCTTTCCTTTCTGTTTCATCTCTCCTCTCCTTTCCTTCTTTCCATTTCATTTTCCCTTTTTCCCCTCCTTTCCTCTCTTCTTTTTAGCCCTTTTCTTCCGGATGCCTTAACCACGCACGACACCGAACCGGCTCTCGGATTCCCACGCCCTGTACAGGGACGGCGAACTAAGGGTTAAGCGGGGTGGGAGGGGCGCCTGGCCTCCTCGGAGGGGCGCGGCCAACGGGAAGCTCTTTTCTGAGCTTCAGCCAATCGGGACCCAGAAGGCGGGGTCGGAGGGGGCCGAGGAGACGCGCTTGCGCCGTCGGGCGCTCCCTGGGTGGGAGGAGGGAGAAGAAGCGGCTGCGATGAATTAACCTTGCGGCGCAGCGAGGGGGCGGGGCCGGGGGCGGGGCCTGCTCATTCATCGCGCTGCGGGCCGCGGGGGGCGCGAAGCGGGGTCCGCCAGTCCCGCACGTGGAGGGGTCGGTGGGTCCCGCGGGGGTCCGAGCCCCGCGCCATGCAGGACGCCCTGGACGCCTGGACGGAGCTGCAGGCCGACTTCCATCAGCTCCAGGTACAGGGCCGGTCGCGGGGTGGGGGGGTGGAGGTCGCCGCGTCTCCCGGGCTTCTCCTTGCAACGGGCGCCCCTTGACCCTCGTTGGGGAGGGGGCTCCCCCAACTCCGCCCGACTCTCCTCCCGCGACACAGACACAATCCTGCCCTGCGTCATTTTTGCCCGGGGGCTCCTGAGCTTGGGGGCGCCCGCAGGGAGGAAGCAGGGCAAAGCAGTCTTGGCAGAAAAGCGGCGGGGGGGGGGGCGGGTGAAAGGTGCTTGGGGTCTCTCCTCCCCCGACCCCCCCCCCGTAATAAAGCTGCGGGGGTCAGCAGTTCCGGGCCCGTTTGACTGCTGCGGAACAAGTGAAAAGGCTGAGATTTGCCCGATTCCTCTTGGGAAACCAGCAGGAGTTCAGATGACTTCCAGACCCATCGTCCGCAGCCGACAGATGAAGGCCGGCCCCGCCTGGGTTGGTGCGAGCTTTAAGCGAAGCTCGACCGGGGTGGGGGGGAAGCAGTCGTTGAGTTGCTTGAGTGGAGGGGGGATTTTTTTAAGGGGTCTTTGCAGACATTTAGGGGAGGGGGAGACTGAGTTGTTTCCCCTCCCCCGGGCGCTGCCTTGATAGGCCGAGGAGGGGCCACTGGTACAGCTGCAGCCAGATGTGGCCTCGTTGGAAGGGGGAAGGGGGGGTAGAAAGTGTTTAGGGACATTTGGCCTGGAAATGAAGCAAAGGAGAACAACCAGGTTAATTGCTGATTAACCCTTGCAAAATATTGGAGGGAGCAGGAGGGGCCACTTAATGCCCAGGAATGAAGGACAAGCTTGGGGAAGAGGTCAAGGGAGACTCTCCGTCATCCAGGTCACGGTTGTCCCAAAGGCGCTTTTTCAGGAGGCAACTGGACTTTCTTGTTTTTCTTTGAAGACCTTTCGCTTCTCATCCAAGTTTCCCCCCATCCCGTCAGAGCTGAAGAAGCTTCTTGGATGAGAAGCGAAAACGTCTTCAAAGAAAAACAGCCCTAACCCTTTCTAGTCACACTTAAGTGAATCACTGCAGTTCAGTTAGGAACACGGTTGTGAAATGAATCTGGACTCTGCTTGTCAGAAGGTCGCAAAAGCGGATCACACGACCCCAGGACTCTGCAACCGTCGTAAATGTGACCCAGTTGCCAAGCATCTAAATTTTGATCACGTGACCACGGGGATGCTGCGACGGTCGTAAGGGTGAAAAGCAGTCATGAGTCCCTTTTTTTTTCCAATACTGTTGTAACTTTGAACGGTTACTAAACAAACTGTTGTAAGTTGAAGACTAGCTGTATTTGCAGTGGGCAGCACTGAACTCTCTGCAACTCATTCTTTATCCATTCCTGGAGGAACTTTTTTAGAAATGATTAACCTTCAACCTCGGGCACCTGTGCCAAGATTGATCTGCAGCCAAACGGAGTTTGTGAGGTTCCTGGAATGAGTGGGTGGCTAATAGGCCAAAGGGTGAGCTTCCCCCTCCAGATTTCCAGAAACGCTGCAGGTTGCAGGAAAACCACAGGCCCCACTTTTGTACAAGACGCAGCCCTTAATCTCTTGACAATGTCGTCCTTAATTGGGGCTGATAAAGGGCAGGTCGCAGCAGGCACGTCTTGTTTGCTTCCTTCCTTGCAGCTGGATCCCTAATCATCATTAGCCCCAAAGAAGCCACAGATCTGGCGGGATCCGGAACTGTCCCTGCAGCTGGGGATTCACCAGAATCCAGCCATCTGCGCTGCTGCCTGAGGTCCTGGCTAGGGACGGACTTTGGGGCATAGCAGGGTGTCCCTGGGTCAATCATCCTTAAAGAATTTCCCACAATGCCCTAGAACACTTGATACGGCCTTTGAAATTGGAAGGGATGATGGGGGCTGGCAGCTGGCCTTTTGCGCCTCTGCTTGCTGGAACCGGGTTCCACCTGATACTTGTCCTTCACAAAGTGACCTCTTTAGGAGAAATCCCTGGTTGCCCAGCAGCTGAGTCCGTTCCCTGATTGACAAAAGCTTCTGTCACCAACTCTTTAAAAAAGGACTCTTGTTTCAAGGACACGGGGATAGATTTGAAGAGTCAGGGTCTGGGGATCTGGTTTGAATTGAGAGATCCTCCTGGTCCTTGACTTGTGGCGATAGTGGCACTAAAATTTCTCTTAGTAAACAAGGCGGTTAAGTGAGTTTTGCCCGATTTTACAACTGTTTTGTTGCAGCTTTTAAGCCAATCCCTGCAGTCGTTCAGTGAAACACTGGCCGTTAAGCGAATCCGGCTTCTCCCCTTTGCTTGTCAGAAGCTGGCTGGGAAAGTCACAAACGGCAATCACATTTGTGGTGCTGGGTTTTATTTATGCTTATCAACTGCTTTGGGAAAAGATTACCGGTGATTTTATATTCAAAGGTGGGAAGTAAGAATTGAAAATGTGTCCTCCAGGTATTTTCCCCATTGTGTCTTTTCTGAATCTGTTTTCAAGACCTCTTGTCGTTTTGACTGGATACTGTTTTGTGACTTGCGATGCTACTCCAGAAATGGCATAAACTTTAATAAGTTTAGGAAATTGTGCCCTGTGATCTTCCCATGTAACCAGAGTCCTGAAGTCATGCTTTTTCCAGCTCGTGTGGAATTTGCAGCAACCAAACGTAAATAAGCAAATGTAATATTGTAGACCTCTACAAGTAATTTCCTGCTTCTCTGAATCTAATGCACTTTTTAAATATTTATAGGAAACCCACAAAATTTACAAGCAGAAATTGGAGGAACTCACAAGCTTGCAGGTGGCTTGCAGCAGTTCTGTAAAGAAGCAAAAACAGAGACTGAAGGAGTTGCAGGATAACTTTAAAAGGTAATGGCTTCTCCCATGCCTAATACAGGCAGTCCTTGACTTACAATCGTTTGTTTAGTGACAGTTTGACGTTACAACGGCACTAAGGAAAAAGTGATTTATGCTTGCTTTTCACACTTACGACCGTTGCAGCATCCCCATGGTCACGTGATCCAAATTCAGACGCTTGGCAACTGTCTCATATTTATGACGGTTGCAATGTCCCGGGGTCACGTGACCCCCTTTTGTGACCTTCTGACAAGCCATGTTCACTTAACAACCTGGTTGCTAACTTCACAACTGCGTATAAAAGCGAATCCTTGCTTAACTGTTTTCCGCTGGCATAATTGGCTGCCAGGCTCTTATTTTGGCACTCCTGTGCTTGTGTCCCTCCCCGGTGTCCAGGTGCGACGGCCAGGGCAGCTCAGAAACGGAGCTCATCCTGCAGATCAACAACCAGATCCGTGACCGCCAGAATGTTTTCTTCGACATGGAGGCCTATTTGCCGAAGAAGAACAGGTAGGTGTGGCCCTCGAGCCCATCAGGAGCTGCACGCATGGAGGTTAGGCAGAGGGGTGTTATTAAAAGAGAAACAGGTGTTTTTCAAACCCGCCCATGGGACCTGGAGTCCTTTCAACACAAAGCAAAACCTGCCATCAGGGGAGCTGAAAGCAACATGTTGCAAAGGCTTTCCAGAACCGCCTTTAGATCGATCTCTAAATCCAGAGTTGGCACAGCTGGAGAGGAACGGGAGATGTTTGGCGATGGGAGGGTGTTGGCAAGTCTCAAAGAGCTTCTGGACGATGGTTTTTGTTGTTGAATCTCCTTCTTCATGTTCTCTTCATGTCCACGTTTACGTGAAACGATCCTAGCTGAGGATCAACCCCATACAGACCTGCCCAGGGCATCCGTGGAGGACAGGAGACCCCGGCAAGCCGAGCCACAGAGGGGCTAAGAGGGAGGGGCCTCTTTGTAGAAGGGATTCTTCATCATTTGGCACCCATAGCCAAAGTTTTATGGAGTTCCTATGCTGTTCCATGACATGTATTTGAGACAGGCAGCCCTATAAACTGAGTTCAAAAATGAATTAAAAATGCTTGTTTATTGGGTAGATCAAAGGGCATTATAAATATCAGCCCAATGTGTCGGGACTACCGTTCTCGCTGACCTTAATTTGAGACCATGACTGAGCCCAAAATTACGATTGCAACTCATGCCAGTCGTTACGTGGATCATGACGGGATCATGACTGGTTTTATGACCTTTTTTGTGGTGGTCATTAAACAAATGCCAGTCGTTAAGCAAGTTAAGAAAGAGCAAGTCTCCCAATGGATAATTTTTGCCAGAAACCTCAATTGATGTCTGATGCTTTGTACTGATGGGACTGTTGTTTTTTTTCCTTTCAGTCTGTACTTAAATCTGGTGTTGGGGAACGTTAATGTTACTCTGCTAAGCGATCAGGCCAAGTAAGTGAATTCTGTGCTATTTTAGGAGAATTTGGGAGGGCTTGCGCGCAAAGGACCTGGCTCCGCTGAATGGGAGACTACAAGGACTAGTTTCCTCAGCCAGAATGAGCTAGGATGATGGGTGCTCTGCGCTGATGTCTGTTGAGAAGGCTGGTTCACTAAGAACTTCTTTCTGAACTCTTGAATTGTTTACATCTTGTCTGTCCAAACGGGCTGCACCAGCCTATAGGTGTCAATCCTGGATTATATAAACCAGGAATCGTGGTCTGTCAGAACAAGGCTGCAGTGTGTGCAGGCCAAGGAATGGGTGCAAGGACAAAAGGCACAGGATGCCAGCTCTGGCTTTTCAATGGCATGTCTCTTTTTTTTTGCCCTAGGTTTGCCTACAAAGACGAATATGAAAAATTCAAACTCTACTTAACCATCATCCTGTTGCTCGGAGCGGTTGCCTGCCGGTTTGTTCTCCATTATCGGTACGTTGGCAGCTTGGCGGCTCGGCAAACGGTTGTCATGTTTTGAACTGTAGCCCTGGATTTTGAACCTGCACAGTATCTGCACTGACCCCAGTTTTTTTTATTTGTAGTTTATTTATTTTTTTAAAGTATGTACCTACGTGTACATATATAAATATTATTCTGGGTATTCTGGTTTTTGGAGGGTGGGAAATAATCCCCAATTTTTCCCGCAGGGTCACTGATGAAGTGTTCAATTTCCTCTTGGTTTGGTATTACTGCACGCTGACGATAAGAGAAAGCATCCTCATTAGCAATGGATCGAGGTACTAGTCCTCAAGATGGCTGGGGAATTCTGGGCTCTGACGTCCACCCATCTTCCTGTTGCCAGAGTTGCAAAATAACTGCTCTGTGCTGCACTGCAAAGCCTAAAATGGCTTTAAAAGGTGTCTTCTTTTATTCCAGGATTAAAGGCTGGTGGGTGTCTCATCATTACATTTCTACGTTCTTATCTGGGGTGATGCTAACTTGGTAAGCAGTTTTTTCCCCCTTTTTTATCCTCTGAACGGCAGGCCAGCCTCAGAGATTCTTTGATCGTAAAAACAGAATTGAATCCGTTGAATTATTTTAACAGCTATTCCAGTTTGCTGTGCTCTCCTGGTTTTGGCTGAACGTCATAATTCCCTCCATCTGGGTTGGTCTAGGCCAGGGATGTCCAAATTCGGCAACTTTAAGATTTGTGGACTTCAGCTCCCAGAATTCCCCAGCCAGCCATGCATGGCTGGCTGGGGAATTCTGGGAATTGGAGTCTACAAGTCTTAAAGTTGCCAAGGTTGAACACCCCTGGTCTAAACTGAATTTCCTCAACCCGGATACTACCTTTTTTTCTTCTTCAGATGTTATTTTCGCTTTTTAAATTTCCTTTCTGCGCCGCATGGCCTCTGATGCAATAGGATATGACAGTCACAGCTGTGCTGTGTCTCTTCAATCACTCCTGTGTTTTTTTTCCTTTCCTGTTTCCACAGGCCAGAGGGTCTCATGTACCAAATGTTCCGGAACCAGTTTTTATCTTTCTCCATTTTTCAGAGTAAGTAAACATACATACCGGATCCACATGAAAAGTGGAATTTTGAGGGAAGCCAAGCGCGTGCAGCATAGCAAAATCAGGTCAGAAAGAGCACAGTTAATCGGGAAAGTTCATTTATTTATCTTGTGGTTGAGTATAAATGGACCTCGACTGATAACCCATAATTTGGGACTGGAACTAAGCGCCTGATTTCATGACCTTTTTTGCTGCGGTTGTTAAACGAATCATGGTCAATAAGCGAATCGGGTTTCCCTCATGGACTTTGCTCATCAGAAGTCCTCTGGGAAGGTCGCAAATGACAGTCACGTGATCCCAGATGCTGCAACCATGATAAATACAAGTTGGTTGCCGAGCACTCATATTTTGGTCACATGACTGCAGTTGTCATATGTGCAAGGACCGGCCTTTTTTCAGACTGTTGTAACTTCAAATGCTTGTAAGTCAAGGACTATTGTAGGTCTAGGTGTAAATCACAGAAGGTTAATAAATTGCAGCTCCAATCCCTTTTTTAAAAAAAATTTAAGCCTATTTCCCTTTTTTCTTTCCAGGCTGTGTCCAGTTCCTTCAATATTATTATCAGAGTGGGTGCCTTTATCGACTCCGTGCTCTGGGGAAGAGAAACCACTTAGATCTCACAGTGGGTAAGTATTAGGCACTCCAATTTGTTTGAAGACTTTTACTTCTCCAGTATTTGGATCAGGGCTCACCAATTGGAGGAAAATACCTAAAAATAGGTATTTTCAATCACTTGGCCGTGTGAGTGATTCCAACTGTTCTGTCTTGGTTGCGATTTAATTTTGCATTAAAAAAAGGTTTCAGAAGAGACGTTTGAACCTAAATCTCCTACCAATAATCCGTTTCCATCGATTTTGAAATAAACTCGTTATTTTGTTAGCTCTTTGGTGGACTGCATCTATCGGGTCCATTAGAAACTTTCCCTTGTAACAAAATTGGATAAAAGGTGCTCTTTTAATTTGCTTAATTTGACTGTGATTATTTTGATCTCTTGATAGAGGGGTTTCAGTCCTGGATGTGGCGAGGTCTGACGTTTCTCCTCCCTTTTTTGTTCTTTGGGCAGGTAAGTTGAATGCCACGTGTTTGCCGATACACTTGTTAGGTATACAGGCGGTCCTCGACTTAGGACTGCAATTGTCAATAATTATCTTGTGATAAATACAGTTCTTAAAGTTTTTCTCGGCTTTTTGCAATCATGGCTCAGAACTCTGTGAGCAGAACCCTCTTCCTAAATCTCCCTTTTCTCCCCTCCTCTCCCTCCCTCTGCTTAAGTTTTGGCAACTCTACAACGCGATCACCCTTTTCGAACTGTCCAGGCACAAGAAGTGTAAAGAATGGCAAGTAAGTATTTTTTGGTTCAAAATAATTTTTACTCTAGTGGGGAAGGGCTCCGTGGGCTGGTTGAGAAATCTAGAAACGGAACACAGAGAGAGTTGCGAAGAACATCATTCGTGGTTTAATATTGGTGAAGATCTTGAGTTGTGAACAGCTGAAAAGGCCTAATGAAATGAAGTTTTCTGAACATTCGGGCATCATTCTTCACCCAAACTGAAGCCAGAGATCTGGTAAACTTGAATATTACGCTGCTCTTCCCTTCTTCTCCAATTTCTAATATTTTTGAGCAGTAGGATTGAGCCAACAACCGGGCCCTAGGCACTTAGAGACAATCAGTATTTAAGCAGCTCAGTTGCTTTTCAATATCCAAGAGGCGTGCTTGCTTTATGAAATTAATCCACCATAATCAGATAGAAATTGCAGCACAGAGAACAAAGAGAAATCTTCTTTGATCCACTGTAAATGAACAACGGCCAACTCCTGTTTATTAGTTATAAATGATCTCTCAAAATGCTTTCCCAATCCCATGCAGGTCTCTTGCTAGGAGTTAATGATTCTCAGTTCTGACATATCAAGAGGACAACTTAACCAGTGGGCCAAACGTTGCTCCTCGTACTTTTCCAGCATGATCTTTTTTCCCGTTGTCACGTCTACCCCCAAAGCAGGTCTCTCTATGTGGGTATATCCCTCTTGTCTTCCTGTCTTCTTCAGGTTTCAGTTCTGGCTCTGACATTTCTGATTCTCTTCCTCGGAAACTTCCTCACCACGCTGAAAGTGGTCCACACAAAATTCCAGAAGAACAAAACCAAGAAGTTGTGAAAGAGGAGGACTGAACTGGCAGGCAGGACAAGTCAACGTGGGATGGAGTTGTGGTTCATGGTGGCCTTCTCTGCATGTGTTCCAACTAGTTCTCCAGCTTCCTGACTGGCCTGCCGCTAAGCAAAGCCCTGGAGGAAATGCCACTCAACGTCCCGTTGTCTCCTCCAAAAATGACTGATTGCCCAATGCTGCTGTCTTCCCACCAATGAGTGACCTGTTTATATATTTATACTGAATGCAAGATCCCAAACTTTGGGGAGACATAATGTTGGTCCTCTCTGGGAGGGACACGGAGATAGAATTATTATGGAATAAAGCGAGCTTTAATTACACTGTTCTTTGACTTGCTGGGTTGGGGGAGGGGGAGAACCACAATTTGTTCCCGGCTTTGTTGACCCAAAGATTGCAGTGATGTTTTCCATGTTTTTTTTCCCCTTGAAATTTCTTGGCTCTTCCAGGGGCAGAAGATGGCAAAGAACAGCTCCAGAGCTTTCTTCCCCCTCCCCTGCAATTCTGTAACGTAACTTTAACCTGTAGGGTGTGTTTATTGCCAGGCATTTTAGGATTAGTTGGGAAGAATTTTGGGAGAACGTGGATCACGGAAGAGAGCCCTGGAAATGACAGGTGCAAGCTGGAATCCAAGGCAACCCTCTTCTCTGCTTTGATGCATGCTCTGCGCACCCAGGTAAATTCTGCTGATTAAAATCTGAATTGTTTGGTGTATGATATCAACTGATTTCTCCCTCGGGTAAATTAACTGATCCAATAACCTTAGATTTAAAAATGATAATCCCTTAACAGTCCTGTCCTCTTGCTTATTATCAGTATTGTAACTTAATGAAATATTCACTCCCTTCTCTTATTAGTACAAATATTTACCCCTTCAGTGAAGATTTTTATTTTTCTATTAAAATAAAAAATATTTTGAAGTACAGTTCAGAGTATTACAAAGACAGAAACACAGAGAATTGGCACAAAGAATCAACTTTCAATTAGAAATAGTTTAAAGGCACAGCACCAGGGATAAAGGCATATTTCGAGGTAGCTATTCCTTATGAAATAGTAGGAAACGACCTAAAGAAATCTATATAGATACAAGCAGGGCAAATTGTGAGGTCCTTCAAGTCATTTCTTCAGGAGTTGGTGATTGAATCTCCCAATTGAATTGGGGTTTATTGTACCTAAGTAACGAATCTCAGCCATACTGTAGTTTAACTACTAACCTATTGGACTCTTTTTTTTTTAATCTATTAAAATGTCCCCAGCTTACTACAGAAGGAAGGATGACAACCTTTATATTCATATATCATATTGAATGATGGTTTATTTTAACTAAAGTTGGCTGAAAAAGCACACTCAGCTAAGTTAATGACCACCATATGTCATAAACTACAGTCTGCAAGCTATAAATGATGCATTGAATCAATATTTCTTAACCATGGCAATATGAAGATGTGGAGATTTTAACTCCCAGTGTACTGATGGGAATTCTGGGAGTTGAAAGTCCACAGATCTTCACATTGCTGCAGTTGAGAAATATTGCATTAAATCAAAATAGAACAAACTCTATGGTTTAGTATGTTATGCAACTCTAGGTTGCACCTTGAAAAGTTTATTGAAAAGGACCACTTCATTTTGGTAATACTGCTATGACGTAAAGAGGCTTTTTAAAACATGGTTATTTAAAAAATGGGAAGTAGCAAAGTGATCTTCTAGAAGTAAAGACCTGGGAAAGGAAGAGCTCCTTCCTAGTGAAACGTCTCGCCATTGGATGCAAAAGTCCAGTAAAAGCAGAAATTAATACAAACCAAGTTTCTTCTCCTGTTACAATCCAAATGAAAAGTACCTTTTCAAATCCAGATAGAAAACTACAAATGCTTCCTGCATATCACAGAAAAGGAAGAAGAGCAACTGTCTTCCTCTGTCCGGTTTCACGTCATAAAAGAACACAAGGCCTTGATTTCTTCTGGCGTTTGGCCTTCTTGATGGCATTCAACGCTATGCTAGCCGCTTCGCTGAAAATGCATTCGACGTTCTCCCGAAACTTGGCTGAACACTCGAGGTACACGCTGGCACCGATCTGGCAACAGGCCTCTTCACCCTGCAAGAGAGAATAGCCACAGAAGCCTTGTGTGATTGGCACCAACAGCAAGCAACAAGATAAACTGGTTGATGGTGTATGAATTTTTCATGCTGCTTTGGGGAAGCTGATGGTGAGGAGGGCTACTGACTGGGAGGACATGGGGGTCCCAGGAAGCAGGGAGCTGTGTGCCCTACTGTGCCCCATCTTAAAAGCTGAGCATTGTACCAGCAAACCGAAAAGCTAGCATATGTCTGCTTTGATCTCATTGCACAAGATGGGCAAATAGAGCTGCCTGGCCTCCTAAGTGTCTATGGAAAGTCTCAATCATCCAAGTGGTACCAAAGATACTTTTCCAAAAGGCAACTGGATTTTCTGGGTTTTTTCCGTGAAAATGTTTTCGTTTTTCAAGGGGAAAAAAAAACCTTGAAAGAAGCAGAACTGAAGAAGCTTCTTGGATGAGAAGTGAAACGTTTTCAAGGAACGAACCAAGAAAGTCCAGCTGCCTTTTCGAAAAGCACCTTTGGGATAGCCTCCTAAGTCTAAACCAAATCGTTTTGTGGCTCGCTGCATTTTGTGTAACTCGATCATTAAATACTTTTCCTACGCTGAGTCAGGCAGCAAATTCAGCTCTTCTTCTTACCACCTTCAATCAAATTGCTCTCCTGGTCAGAAATGGTCTCCATGTGAATGTAGGCAGACCTGAAGCTTTGGTTATGGGTGATGCCTCCTCAACGGAGCAGGTCTTCGACTTGCTGTCGCTCGAAAGGACAGGTGACCTGAATTTGGTGGATCATACCTGAAGAAAGAGATAGGTTGCTTGCTCTCTTTACCTGCTTGTAAGTGATCGGCTCCTGTTGAGCAGAGCGGAGCTTCTTGAGGTGTTCTTTGTCTTTCCGGAGATCAGTTTTGCAACCCACCAACAGGATAGGGATTCCGCGGCAGAAGTGGTTGACTTCATGGATCCACTGTTGGGGAACAAAGGGTGGACTTTGCTAGATGAGCTCAAATGGAAATGGGGTCTACGGGGTACTAAGCTGTGATTTGCAATAACTGGCTTGTTAGAAGCCATCTCCTAACTTTCCTGGATTCTCCTCGCTTGCCTTGAAGGCTGAGAGTTAGATAAATGCTGATGGTGTAGCTTTGGAAATACCGGAATTACATATGCTAAATGATAGTTTCTTCAATAAGCTGCAACTGGTTTGGCTCATAGTTTATGCAAATCACTAAATCATGGCTTACAAGCTACAGTGACAGCACACTTAAGTCGTCACCAAACTAGCCGGGAGAAAGCTCCAAGTGATATGTGCACTAAAGAACTTCTAAGTAGCTGCTTCACAAAAGGGTGACTACTGTATAGAGAAGAAAATCATGATTCTTTCATGTTTTAGTTCTAAAACCTCTTACCTTGATTAATACATTATCAAAGCTAAAAGGGTTCATGACATCATAGCAAATCAAAACCACATGAGTGTTTTGGTACGAGAGTGGCCGTAAGCGATCATAATCTTCTTGTCCTAAAATGAAGAAATTACCAAATAAATTACCAAAGTACATTTCTCTGTGTGTGTGTGTGTGTGGCTGACTTCTTGCTTGCTCTGTTTTTTACAATAATGTGGAGCAGGAAAACTCCAAATGGACAGTGTTTTCATTATGCTAAGCAAGATACGTTCTGATAATATTCCTAATTTGCACCACATGGATTACCTTTTTTTTTAAAAAAAAAAAAAATCAAGATGAACTTTACCTGCAGTATCATACAAATGTAAGACTACTTCTTTTTTCCCCACAGCGACATTGGTTGTGTATTTTTCAAAGACCGAAGGGGCGTATTGCTGTCCGGAAGTGGAAAATAAGTGTGTTATTAGTATACATTGTCAAGTTTCACAGCTCCTCCCAGAGTGTTTTACAACTTTATATTTCCCTTCTGCAAAAATAGCCACAAAAATTTCCAAATGTGTAAGTGATGGCAACCACATGTTTTTAAACTCTTTTTAAAACGTTTTTGTTGGACTAAGACTAAGATCTGTAGACAGAACCTAAGCCTTTTTTTCTCTTGATTTGAGCTGCATCTAGGATGTGGCACACCACAGAGCTCCAGATATCCTGTCTGACTTCTGCCTCTTGGTCCAGGGGCTCCTTCAAGTAGAACACGTTGTGCACGGATTTCTGCAATTGTTCAAGTATCAATCCTGGAAGTAAAGGCGGATTTCTGCTAGAACTGGATTCTACTCTGGATTTCAGTCTCATTTGTACTTATGCATTCCTGAACTTATTGGAACTAGACTTGCATTAATGGTTATATCAAATTCAGATTTGCTAGGGGGCCCACATTGATGGCAGAAACATTTATTCATGGAGATAGCAAGTTGTCTTTAATTAGAGCCATATACAGAAAAATGGATGACTTCTGAGGCCATCAGTGATATGCAATCTCCCAACTTCTAAATCTGCAATAAGTAAATTAGTAACGGGAAGTCCATCACTCATGCATCCTGTTGCCTTGTCTACGTAGATGTTGAGATGTTTCCTAAGATGAACCACCAAACGAAACACTTTTGCCCCATTTTAGTAATTTCCACAAAGTTTGCATGTGTCGTTTGTAGCAATAAGGCAAGATTTTCTGATTTTCCCATTCCAATCAATAAACAGGGAGGCATATGGTTTGCTGTTTGCCTGTTTCTAACGGGACAAAGATGGAACCCCTCGAAGTGAGACCCAGATGACTCTGATGCTTTTTTAAAAAATAAAAATAAATCCAGAGGCTTCATTTCCTGACATAAGTTTATTTGTTTATATGCCATCTTTATTGTTTGTTTTGGTTCATCTTGAGGTGGAGTCAAGACAGTGTTGCCATTTTCAGTGCACTGAACTCATGGGCCATCCTGGCACTTGGGAAGGGCACAGGCGGTAATGCTATCAAACCCATCCCCAGCTGAGTTGGTCTTGCACATCTGGACTGATTTGATGTTAGCTACTGGGCAAGAACCTCCTGAGGGGAATATTGCCTGAGGAAGGTGCTACAAATGGCACCTTTGCCAAGCAGGAACCCTCCAGAGGTGCCAGAATGAGGAAGCCAGGGGATTCTGCGATCTGCCATGCGGGGGAATCCCTTTCTGAGCGACCCCCACTCCCAATAGAAGGAAATGTCGCCCTTTTTGCCTCGGGATTCCAGAAGCCTCCCCTGAAGGAAGCTTCCAGACCTTCTAGAAGCTTCCCGCGCGGGGATACGGGAATGGGGAGCTTCCCGCACGGCGAGAGCTGAGGAGGGGGCCGGGCGAGTCCTGATTGGCTGAGAGGGTCTATAAAAGCCGGCGCTCACCTCGGGAAAGGCGCCTTTGGCATGCACCAAAAGGAGCGAAGTCTTTCCGCAGCCGCCGTCGCCCACCACCACCGCCTTTAGCTCCGTCTTCCAGCCCTTCCCCGGCTCGCTGCCTTCCCGGCTACCGGGTCCAGAGCTATTCCTCTCGGCCATAGTAGTACGCTGCCGCCGCCGCCGCCGCCTCGAAAGACCCGCTCTTCGGGCGAGAGTGGAGGAGAGGCGGCGGAGGCCTCGCCTCCTTCCTCCCTCCTCGCTGCGGCTTCGGAAGGCGGCGAGTTGCCGCCGCCGCCGGTTTAAGTTAAAGTGGCGAGGGAGGGTCGAACCCGCCCTCGCCTTCTCTGCATCAGCCCAGCCTGGGCGCTTGGATGCCCCAACGCGGGTTAAGCTTTTGCCCTGGTTGTCGGGATGGATCAGTTTAGAGCCAGTTTGTGGTTCAGGTGCTGGCCTCGAAAGCAGGAAGCTGCAAGTTCTAGTTCTGCTTCAGGCAGGAAAACCAGCTGTGTGTCAATCACTCTCAGCCCAGCCCACCTTGCAGGATTGTTGTGGGGGAAATAGGGAGTATACTGGTCACTCTGAGTTATGAGATAAAAATCTAAAGATAGGAAAGGTTCTTCAACTGGGTGCCCTCCAAGTTACATCATCCCCAAAGAGGTTGCCAGGATAAATTAGGATGTATAGGTTTCTGCAATTTAGTTTATTTTTCCCCCCCTCCATGTACACACCACCATTGCACATATCATGGGCAGCTGGTTGGGGTTGATGGGAGTTGTAATCCTGGCTTGGGGAACAGCCCTAACTAGGTTGAGGACATGACTATTACAGGTAATCCTTGACTTATAACTACCACGGAGTCCAAAATTTCTGTTACTAAGTGAGTCTTGCCCCATTTTACTGACTTTTGCTATACTTGTTAAGTGACTCACTGCAGTTGCTTAGTAACAGTTCTTAAGTGAATCTGGATCCCCCATTGACTTTGCCTGTCAGAGGGTCACAAAAGGTGAGTAGATGACCCTAGGTAACTGCAACTGGCATAAATACGAGTCAGTTGCCAAGTGTCTGAATTTTGATCTGGGGACCGTAGGGACGCTACAACAGTCATAAGTGAAAAACATTCGTAAGACACTTCAGTGCCATTACTTGTATTTAGCATTATCAATTTGCGTATGTGGGTTTTTTTTACTTTGTCCTGGTGGACCCCAAGTTTAAGGCTGTTTTAATAAATGCAGCAAACCATCTTGGAATTTATGGCAAATTTTGAGGTTGCCATAATGGCTAAGATTTTGTTGCTGCCACACTTTTGTTTCATCTCCTGGGGTACTTTATGGTTACCAGGAAGTTGTTTCTTGCTCCTTTCCAGCAAGAAAACATGCAAAATAAAGGATGGTTTTAAATAGGATTTGGAGTACCAGTGCAAGCGTCTTGTGCATGGAAACAATGCTCCCTATATTTTTTATTCTTCCTCCAATCAGCATGCAGGAGGGAGGAAGTATCTATGAATCTTTGGCCTGCCTTTTGAAGTCTCAGCTTGGGATTAAGAAATAAACACCCACGCTAAAAAGAATTACAATGCAGATGGCAAAGTCATTTTCAGCAAATACCTTTTTATTTTTGTCTCACACCATTTGTGCTTATAGCATTTCAATACAGATCTTACATTTTTAAGTACACGTTTCGCGAGCTGCCTCAGCAGAAAAACTGGGAGCTGTGTCCCACTATACAATTTAGCCGTTTTAAACATTCTTTTTAAAGCTCTCGACAGATGGCAGCACCTTGCCTGGCAACATCCATGGATGTTGGCTTGGATGTCCATGAAGTCACCATTAACTGGGGGAGGCCATTTTTATTCCTGTAGGTACTTCGTGTCACCACTAGATGGCCCTCTAGGCCTAAAAAAAAACACCACCCGTGGAAGTTTGCTGTGACAGTAAACGGAAGGGGAAATTACTGCCAGTCCAAAAAGCAAAAGGCGGATGGCGGAGGAAGACGTCAGCTGACCCGAAAACACAAGCAAGCAATGTCTTCTCTTCCACGGGGTTTTGGACCTGTGTTCTTTGAATGAGCCTCGCCGGGAAAATCACCTCTGAAAGCTGGGTAATTTCACAAAGCTCGAAGTATTTATGAAAAATCCATTCAGCTCATGCACACTAGCTACAATTGGGAGGTGGGATCAAGTTCATGGAAGACAAAAGGCAGAAGTAACTTCTGACTGATATTTACCATGGTTGATGCAATGCTTGTGACTGACTTCTTGAAAAAGTACTACAAGTCACTGTACTTTAATCCCATTTTTTTCCCCTTTCAGGGATTGGGAACAATATGTTCTCTGCCTTTGTTTTATCTGCATAATTATCTTGTGTGCTAAGCTAACTTCTGGTTCTTAAATGTGGCCTTTGTTTCCTATCCTCTTTCTAAAAGGAAGCTAAGGAGTAGTTTTGCATGATTTTTAAATAATTAGTACAGCATACATTTCTGGCTTTTATACTTTGACCACTAATTACAAAATCTCTCAGCCATGAGCATGCTAGTTTTGTACTCCACTGGTGGGTGGGTGGAGTTCTACTATATGTGTAATATACAAGTTGTCCACTCGGTAGTAAACACGGAAAAGGGAACAAACCACATCTGTAAAATGAGAAACATACTTCCTCTTTCTCTAAGCCTAGCATGAGTTAGCACTGCGACTAATAGCAAAACTGCCCTCTTTTAACTATGTTTTACATTCTCCCTTTAATTTAGCATCTTCAAAAGCATGATATTGGATGAAGTCAATTTACAGAAACAGTAAGTACAATAAACTTTATTTTTGTATAAATTGGTTCATGTGGTGCTGCACAGTTTCATAGCTCTATCTTCCAGGTTTCATGTTACAGTATTATCTGTTTCCTCTATTGCATACTGACATTTGTTCAAAATTTGTAATCCAATGAAGTATACCCAAAAATGACAGAGGTGGCAGTACTCTAGCACTGTAGCTTTAAAGCATTTATAGAGCTGCTGCGTGAACATGTTGACTCCTTTTTATCTAGCTAGTGGGAAAACATTGAAATAAGCACGAGACTAATTGCTTATTTAACACTTGCTAGCAATTCACTCAAAAGACCAGATAAAAAGTTCCTTGTTTAAGTTGATAAAAAAGATTTCAATTAAAGATACTTTCAAATATTAAGCAAGCTTAAGGAAATTTGCAAACATTACAAATGTATGACACTTTAACCAGGTCACCTAGACTTAAAAGCAGCATTTGTACAACATTCCAAGTTTGCTTAGTGATTAACTAGGGTTAAGCAACAAAGAACAAGGTTTTGCTCGTTCAAATCATTTATTTTATCAGCATGTTACCTGAATCAAGAAAATGGGTTCATTCAGTAATCAAGTGTCTACAGCAAATCTAGCCTTTAGTGACTATCATGTAGGAGACTTGTCATTTTCAATGTCCTTGAATATCCTACTAATAGCCAATAATCCTACTGAGAGCCCATCCACACTATTTGATAGAGATTCACATTGCTAGCAGCTGCATTTTGAATACTTGAAAATAACCATTTTATCAGAGGAGTCAGTAGGTGGATTGAACTTCAGTTTGTTAGTTTGCTCCATGAACGGAATGAGTTTATTTTGACCTAGCAAAGATTTCTAAATTCACACATCGCATCAATCCATGTGTGTGATTTAGAACTTCGCACAATGGGAAGCCAACTGATTTCCCATAAAACTCAAACCTAACTTCTACTAACAGAACACAGTCCTGAAATCACATATGCACAAAATACACTGCACCATGTCATTTTCAATACTATTCAGAGCACATGTCATCCAGCTACTCCAAGGCATAATAAGAGATTATTGTTGTCCGTCATAAAGTAGGAGCAGAGTCTCATACTGCTTGAATTATGCTACTTCAAACGTCTTAGTGGTGTAAGACAACAGGTAACAGAAGTTGCCTTTTTGAGGAAGAGCGCAGTCTGCTTCGGGATGTGATGTTTTGCAGCCTTACACAGAACTTTAACCAGTAGGCACGTGTTTATGCAAAATGTCCTAATATTTTTGCCTTAAAGGGGCAGCATTAATCACCAAGGCACTTATTCAAAGGTAATATGATCCAAATGGCATTTGCTGCTCTCAGATTACCGTTGCCATTAATATACCAACTGGAAGGACTCTGGAGGATGGACATACAATTTTATTTTGTCTTAACAATTTGCCAGAAGTATACAATTAAAGAATTGGCTGACTCTTATTGGGATAATGTCATGTCTGCATGCTCAGGCTTACCAAAGCTACCCAATTTAGCAGCATTACCAAAGCTAAAACTAATGCAGCCCTTTTGCCAAGCTCCAGCAATACCATATTCCTTGCCCAAATCCAAATTCTCAGTAGGGTATCCATGCAAAAGGTTCCTGGGTTAGATTGCCAAGAGTTGCCTAGTCCGGCATCGGGCTCTTGAAAGCAGTTCAAAAAAGGAGGTGAAATACAGGCCAGTGCAACCTAGCAACTGCTCCTTAATGGGATGCGATGACAAGATCTGCACCTCAGCCATGATTGGCTGAGCGAGCCACAGCAGACCAGATGATATATAATATTTAATCAAGACCAGACAGATCAAATTATGGCATAGCACAATATGTGAACAAGACCGGGTTCAAATAACACATTAACCTTGGGTTGCTACGGCCTGCTGAATAGACAACTGGCTGCTTATACAAGATGATAAGACAAACTGAGTTGCACACCACCCAGCAGTGACTTTGTAAACACTGTTAAGACTGAAACTGGACCAAATCACATGATGAATGTGGAGATTCTGCTTTGTTCTTTATGGCCAAGAGCAGCTTACTCCATGGAGTATCCTTCTTTTACCTAAGCTCCTACTATATTCCTCCATTTCTCTTCCCTACCATGTGCATTCACTTCACACTAGGAATCCTGTTTCTTTTGCTTCATCTCTTTCTGCCCACTTCAAGATCCCCTTATAATTGCCTAAACAGCCCCCTTCAGCCCCTTTCTTCCTCTGCTGGAGAAAGGTTTAAAGTTTAAAGGGGGAAAAAAATCATTCAATTAGACTTTGCTCCGGACAAAGAACCATTCAGATAGTGCAAACATGTCATAAAACTGCTGCTCTGTACTCAGTTCTTCTGGCTCAGAAAAATAGGTGG